GTGAAACTATACGTATGTAGTGTATGAAAACTTGTGGTAAGGATACTCTTGATGGTATAATAAAACTTTAATTTATTATAACAAATGAATATTCGTTCTCAGAAGTTAATATTAACAAATCATTAAATAATAAATACTCAGTGTATACGCATCTTAACATCGGGGCTTCACTTGACGAGGAAAAAAATTATTGTACATCCAATTTTCCTTATGAAGTGTGAATAACGGTGTATGTATTTTTTTGCTTTTCGATAATGACTCATTTTAATTATCACTTGCTAGTTTTTGCCTGTGACTTTATCTGCGTTAATTTCGGCATTAGTAATCTATGTATAGCTGACCGGGCGAACTCTATTCCGTCTTAGAAGACGTAAATAACTAGATATTGGAATTTATTAAGTTTTTTGCTTCCGATCGAATAGTATTAAATATCCTATGTCAGTCTCCTTATTCTAATCTATATATCCACCAATGTTCATCCATATCCGTACAGCCGTTCTTGAGTTATAAAGAGTATAACTAATACGACTTTCTTTTATACATACAGATATATGATTATGACACTAGCTGTTCACCGCGGCTTCGTTTGTGTTTCCCGTCTTTGTTTCCATGTTTACAAGTTTTTCATTATCTTAAATATGTTATATTAAATGTAAGAAGCTGTCTAGTGAATTGTCAGATTAGGTATGTTTAACTTATAAGGAAGATATATTATTCGTTTAAAGAACGTAATTTCCTGTTATCTTAAATGATCATATTAATCACAGTACAATTGTATATATATGTTTATTTGTCTTAATATATTTCATACTAGTTTTTGCCCGCGACTTCGTCCGCGTTAGTTTGGTCAAGAGTAATATATGTAGGTATAGCTGACCAGGAGAACTCTATTCCTTCTTGGAGGCCATAAATAATCAGGTTTTTCCTGTTTCAATCAAACAGAATGATTGACATATTAGTTAGTTGTCAAATCTAATGTCAAAAAAAACGTTTGTATGGGAAAAAGAAAAGGGCTGTTTTTAGGGTTTTCCCGGCAATAATTCCAATTTTTCTCACCTTTTAAACCTTCCCTGGACTTCCAGGAGTATTTCAAGACTAAAATTAGCCAAATCGGTTTAGCCGTTCTCGAGTTTTAGCGAGACTAAGGAACAGCAATCCATTTTTATATACAGAGTGACTGGTGAATTACTATCAATATTTAAGGAGCATAATCAGTACATGATTCTCATTTGAATTATGTAAAAAAAATAGGTACTCAATTTTTGACCAAATTTCCGTATAAATAAATAAAGTGTGTACACGTTCCAAGTGTGGACGCGTGCGGCCGCGTGCTGATACAACAACACGCCGCCGCGCGCGAGTGTGTGTGTGTGTGTGTGTGTGTGTGTATACCTAATCTGTAGGGTGTTCATACGATGCGTAATTAATTACATAACTTTTGGTTAACTTTACTTAGAAGTTTATTAATATTTATGTTATATTAATTTTTATTTTGTCCTTTATGATCGTCAAATATCACGTCCTCAAATATCGATAGTAATTCACCAGTCACCCTGTATATAGAAGATACATATTTTAATGACAATTATATTGTTTATTTTAAAAACTGGTATCTAGTTACAAACTACTAAGAATAGTTTGTGAATCTAAACCATCTTGAGCGTCACGTAAATGCGTGTAAAAAAAATCATTTGAATCAATATATTTATTTAGGAGTTCAGTGACATATACACGTAGTAATATAAAGATATAGATTTACTTACAAAACTATTTGTTAAAGTGCACACAAAAAATATTTATACCATTGAATCAGAATGAGAAAGTTTAGATAAAAATCACATGTAAATAATTATGTTCTAACAACTAACGAGTTCCAAAATATAAGAAAAGGTAATATAATATGTTGGATTAACACAAAATAAAATAGAGGTTAAGCTACTAACGCTATCTATTGACAACCATATATATTTGTATTTCTATCTGTGGCATATAAAGTATTTTTTTCTATCCTTCCGATAATATAAGTACATATTACGATTTCTTTAAAACGTTTAATATAAACAAAACTAATATTTTCGGATTACTACGCGTATTTTTCCTTTAGATAATGATCCCTTAAACCTACACCTGGGTCACAAGTCCCAGTCACTGTTGAAGCTCCTCTCACTACAACGATGGACCTGACACACGCACCGTGAATACATGGAATGATGAGAGGATTCGTCTTATATCTTTTTTAAAAACTACATACTCTCAACGTTTTTACTTTTCAGCAACCGTGATCACGGCAGGCACCTCGTAATAAAAAAATACGCGTAGTAATCTGAAAATATTAGTTTCATTTAAATGAATAGGGGAACACGGGGTAATGAGAGCGGTCGGGCAATGAGAGCTACGGTGATTGAACGGAATGTAGGCACGTTTGCGCGATCGTAAGCACTCGGCTGCCTTCGTCAACACTCGGTAAGCTTCACTTGACGCGCTCGAACCGTTAGTGCCATTCGTTTAGTCACGAGAGACGGTTGAGTGTTCTTCGCTTCACGCTTACAAAAAATTGCCGATTGCCAGCATCAAGGTAAGCATGAAATTATATTCTTATTTTATTGTATTTATGCTTATTATATCCCTAGATTCATTTACTATTAAGTCTAATTAGTTGGATTGCGATTGAGAATAGAATTACATATATATATTATTACTTTTCAAAATGGTGGTCGGCGGCTAATGGTAGCCTAGCTAGGCTCTCATTACCCGACATAGCTACCATTACCCCGTAGTAGTTATTAATGAAATGCCTTGGTTTTTTTTTGTTTTAGATGCCACGTAAAAGGACTCGTACAACCACAAAAGCTTCTTGGACAGTGGATTCATTAGAAAATGCAGTATCTGTCCTCAAAAGAGGAGGCATTTCGGTGTACAAAGTATCTCAACAAACAGGTATTCCTTACAGCACTCTAAAGAAGAGGTACAATTTAGCGAAAGCTGGCGGTAGTAGCTACAAACACTCTCCTAAGCTGGGAAGATCCACTGTATTTAACGTTGCCCAAGAAGAAATACTGGCTAACCATCTTCGGACTATGTCTAATAAATTTTATGGTTTAACAAGAGAACAGTTTCGCAAAGTATGTTACAGTGTAGCTAAACAACTAGGTATTGAGAAACGATTTAACCAAGACAATCAAACTGCAGGAAAAGATTGGCTGGCTGGATTTTTGCAGCGTCATCCAGACTTAAGTATTAGAAAGCCTGAAGCCATCAGTATTAACCGAATTCTCGGATTTAACAAGACTGAGATAACGCTTTTTTTCAATAACTTGGAAAAATTGATGGAGCAACATAGATTTGAACCTCAAATGATTTACAATGTAGACGAGACTGGTATAACGACTGTCCAAGAGACTGAAAAAATTATAGCTCCCAAAGGACAAAAACGTGTCGGGTCTGTAACGTCATGGGAAAGAGGTAAGACAGTCACAGTAATATGTGCTATGAGTGCAGCTGGATCTTTCGTTCCTCCGCTTTTCATATTTCCCCGGCAACGTCACTCACCACAGCTGGAAAAAGATGGACCAGTGGGAGCCGTTTATACATGTTCACATAATGGCTGGACTAACGAAAAGATATTTGTTTTATGGCTTCGTCATTTTATTAAACATGCCAAACCTGCTGCTGAAACACCCGTATTGCTAATATTGGATAATCACAATAGTCATGCTACTCTCGAAGCTTGGGAATTGGCAAAAGAGAACCATGTCATAATGCTAACCATTCCTCCACATTCATCTCACCGTCTACAACCCCTTGACGTTGCATTTTATTCCCCACTTAAAAGAGCTTATAACAAAGAGTGCAACTTGTATATAAAATCAAGAAATTTGATAAAAATTACTCCATACGACATTGCTGGACTGTTTAATAAAGCTTATACTAGAGTTGCTTCTATAGAAAAAGGAGTATCGAGCTTTAAAGCTACAGGTATATTCCCTATGAATCCTGGAGTTTTTTGTGATGATGACTTCATTAATGAGGAATCCAGATCAGCTGTGCCTGAGGCTGACGCTCAACAGCAGCCAACTAGTGTCACTCCTATTCCATCAACATCAAATCAGGCTGAGCAACCACATGCTAGCCCTGCAACAAGTCCATCTATTTTTTGTGATCTGCAAATTGAAACGGAAATTATTCAAAGGGAAGCTGCTGTAACTCCAGTTTCTATTCCATCGACATCATCACACACTATCAGACCTATCGCAACTCCGCCCAATATTGACTTTGCTAATGTTGTCTCCATTGTCAGCCCACTGCCCCAACAACTCATCTCTCAAAAACAAAAACCGTTGAAGAACAAACAGCATTCTGAAATAATAACAAGCACTCCAATGAAAGCAGTATTTGAAGAAAAGAAGAGAAAAAGAACTGAAAAGGAGAATAAGATAAAGACAATTAAGAAAAATAAAGGAAACTGTGATAAAGAAAATTGTGTCAAGGGAAAATGTGCCAAAGGAAAATGTATTAAGAAGAAACATACCAAAGATAAAGAGATTAAAAGCAAGAAGACTACAACCAGAAACACAAGGATCAGAAAGGCAACAAAATATTTGTTTAAAAGTGATGATGAAAACTCATCTCTTGACCAAATCGACGAAAATGCTATCTGCGATGATGAGTCAGAATATTCTGAAGAGGAGAATTTATGTGCAATTTGTTTAGATCTTGGAAAAAATGGAGAGATGTGGTACCGATGCAGAAGTTGCGGAAACTGGGCCCACAAAGAGTGTACTGGTAGTGATAGTCCAGATACTTATATTTGTGCATTTTGTTTGGATCCGTAAATCAGGATCATTTGTTTTCCATTAATAATTTCATATTTTATCTCCGTTTTGTTTGAATTTGTTTTCATTTTAATTTGTGTTACAAATAGTTTCATTTTATTAATAATTATAATAACTAAGATCTCATTTATAGTGCGTTTTGTTAATTTTTTTTTAAGAGTAATTATAATGGCTCCCATTTCCCATATGATCGTTAAATGGGCTCTCATTAGCCGCATTCGTCGGGTAATAGGAGCGACTGACTTTTTTTGTAAAACTGTCATTGTATCCTAATACATGTCTGTAGTTGATTATAACTATAATTATTGTATTCTCTTATAATAAAGGTAAGAGTTTATAATAAAAAAATACAAGAATTTTGAGTAATGTGCTTTTTATTACAACTTTCCCTTAGTAGGCTCCCATTTCCCTGTTCTCCCTTACTCACGAAAGTCTTAGATAACAAATCTTTAATAGTTTTAACAATAACATAATGTAGAATGAATATCCTGTGTTTTTTATTAAACAATTAAAATAGTAATACACAACTTTGTTAATTGAATAGTTCACACCGAGTTGACCTTTTAATTAAAATGTACGCGATTCATAACTTCGCGGTTTTTGCGATGTTTCTTTATTAATATAAAATCTGTTTAGATTTAACAAGATTGCATCTAATATATAATATTTCCACACCACAATGTTAGTTACCGTACTCTGTAACAGCTTTACCGATTTTTACCATATTTTATGAGTATTTAATAGGTCTGAGAATCGGCTACTATCTATTTTTCATACCTAAGTGATAAAGGTTGTTCACCCATAATTCTTTTAGATTTAGGACGAAATTTCTTGTTTTTATTATTTTATAATGTGGTATTAAAAATATAACACAAAATTTTTAATTTTATTTATCACCAATCTCTATTTTTGATATGGCAAAACAAAGTTTGTCAGGTCAGCTAATATATACATATATGTATATATATCTTGACGAGAAAATTAAGAAATCTGTACAGATTTTGTATTGTAGTATTCGCGTTAGTTCATAAAGACTCAGTCTAGAAAACTTTTTAACTTTGTAACTCAAATCATTACTCATGTTTTGATGGAATCATACTTTATCCATTACTGTAAAAAATTGATATAGTATAAAGTGCACTTTAAACAAGCAAAAAAATTATACAATATAACCCAATTTGGAATCTTTTTAATTTTTTATTAAGCTACGAACATTAAATGTATACGTAAAATCTCAGTAATGGATATTATTATGAGAAGTAATAAAAATTAACTGTGAAAAATCTTCCATTTGTAATGTGAAACACAATATTTAATAAGATAAATTGTCTTCTTAACTAAAGTAATATTATAAGTGAGATTTAACTTTCGCGAATATTCATTTAAATGAAACTAATATTATTCGTATTACTACGCGTGTTATATTATTATAAACTACATACTCCTGACTTTTCGGTTACTTTACAGCAACCGTGATCAAATCTCGTCTGCCCGTGGACATAAGTAGTTTTTAAAAATAATAAAATACAAGTAGTAATCCGAAAATATTAGATTCATTTAAATGATGAAAAAAATTGAAATAGATTTAAATTGCTGTACTTTCAAAGACTAGTTTCTTAGCATTATGTATATAGTACAACTATTACAAAAACTTACCTGAGATTTGTAAAAAAACCAGACTCGTTTTATGTATGTTTATATTTTTTGTGTATCTCATAAAGGTTTTTTGTTGTTAACGTAATATCTTCAAGTCATTCTTCTGATGACGAGGTTTTTGACGTTGTCTAATAAAAGCTTTGATAGTAAACAATAATATTTAAATCATTTTTATCTTCTATATATATAAAAATGGATTGCTGTTCCTCAGTCTCGCAAATACTCGAGAACAGCTGAAAAAAATTGATTCATTACTAGGAAAACCATAAAAACAGCCCTTTTCTATTTCCCATACAAACGGTTGTTTTTGACATTAGATTTGACAACTAACTAATAGGTCAATCATTCTGTCGCACTTCAAAACACGGAGATTTATGGCTTACAGGTAGACTCCAATAATATAAATAAAGAAACGTAATAGATATTTCTTGATTATAGGGCGATACGAAGTTCGCCAGGTCTTCTAGTATGATATAACTCTTGAATAAGTATATAAGAGAAGCAACCGTGATCAAGGGCAGACGAGATGTGAATGGAAAGTAGCCGAAACGTCGGGAATATGTAGTTCATAATCAAAAATAAAAACGCGAAGTAAAAATCCGAAAATATTACTTCATTTAAATGAGTACTCGCGAAAACCTTAGATCTCATTAAATAAATGAGTTTATCTAAAATATTTTTGTGTAATAATATTGTAATAAATGATTGTCTGTACACAGAAAATTTTATAAGAATTATTAAATAACTTTATTCACGTAAAGCTAAAACATTAACTGTTAGAATTCTTAAGGTTATTTTACCCTCAAAAACTTAATTAAATGATTGTTTTATATTCATTTTTCGCTATCATATTGCAGTTTTGCAAATAATTTGTCTGTTGCTTCATTTAAAACATTCTTTTAGTTAGTTGTAAAGAATATAAAATGTTGAAAGACAAATCCAGTATTCAACATATGTTTCTTTTAAACAGTGGAGATATTCAACTTTAGTGGAAAAACTGGCCACAACACTAGGCGCGGCGCTCGGCTTCATCTGCTCTGGAGGACTGGTGCTAGCTGTTCTGATATACGGAGAAATAACAGCACTTTTTATACAGAGACACAACGCGAGGGAAACCAGGGGAGATGCGAGTATATTGGAGATATTTGGAGGAGGAACGAGATTGTAAGTAGCGCAGACTAATGTAAACCCTTTAAATATAACATTATAGGACCCAATTAGAGAGTACATTCCTAGTTAAAGCTATAGTCATAACATCGAGATATTATCTATTAGGCTAGTCCATAAATAAAAGCACACTTGTACTGTACAATATCTCATTACTCGAATTCTTTACAATTGTATTGAAAATCACATTCAAATAATAAGATGAAAATGTATGTATTATGAGCCAATAGATTAGGCTTGTACACTTTGTTTGACGGTTCCCTATAGCATAATCGCCATCCTCACATTCAGTGACAATCACTACCCTATTCAGCACTGGCCGCTCATAATTCTATGAAACAAATCAACTGAATTCCCTATTAAGTTTATTATTAAACTAATCCGAAATCGACACTCGTCGTCATATATATATCAAGGCAGTGGTGGCCTAGTGGTTGAGAGGCCCGCCTCTAACGCACGAGGGCGCGGGTTCGATCCTGGCAAGTACCAATGTGATTTTTCCGAGTCATATGTACTTTCTAAGAGTATTTAGACATCACTGATTAATGCATTCCCAAAGAGGGTTGATGTCAGGCAGGCCGCCGGCCGTAAAAACAATTAGCCAAAACTATTCACAACATGTAAGGCAGACCCTGGTTAAAGCTGGGAAATTGCCAGGTAGAAGAAGATATATATATATTTGTTCAGGGACGCCGGTAATAGAACTCTTCACATGGACGCACTAGTAGATGACTCGGTGGCGTTTGCTCTGGCGAGTGTGGCCATCATGATGTGCCAGTTAGTGGCTGCAGCTCTAGCTGTCACTCTCGCCAACTGGGCAGCTGGGAGAATGGTAAAATATTATATACAGAATAGCTTGAAGATTAATTAATTATTATTTATTAGCTTCTTATGAGTCGTAGACCCAGTTTTACCAATCAATGTTTGTTTAGTATAATCATAGCATTTATTAACCAACCTACACAATTATAAATGTCTGTTAAAATATTTACGTCCCACGAAGACAAATTAACAACGCATTATTAAACGTCATGTCAAATGACCGACTGCCAAATTATTCGTTCTTGTTATAATACGACCAAGTGGAAACTATAGCGTTTAACACGGCACGTTTGCCACGATGCACTACTTTATACTTTAATCGTATATATCCCTCGATACGTCACTTGTAAGCTAATGCGACCAAATTTTATATATCGTTGGTTGCATACATTTAGCACACAAAAAGCTTTCTTTTCAATTTACTAGGTGTAACTTGTCAAAATCGTGTTGTCAATAAATTGTATTATATATTATTGTGTTATAAATATATACATAAATTGTGTTCAAACTATAAGAAATAAAAGAAAACTTAATTTTCAATGTTATAAAAAAGCTGGAGTCAAAATCATCATACTAAATGAAATTTTAATTCACTTTATTAATAATAACAAGGAAATAGTCGAAACTGACAAAACAGATGACGTTACTATGGTTACAAGAAATCAGGGCTGTGATTGGACAATTGAGTTTTGACAATGCCATTAACATTCGGTTAGCCATTAGACGGAGCTCCAGGGCGGGAATTAATATTAGTTGCTGGTTAAGACATTTAAACGGACATTTGTGCGTGGTGGGACGCTCGATATATCTAACAGAGCATCAAACGCATTAACACGATGTTACTTATTTAACCATGATTGGTGAAACTGGGTCTTAAGCTGACAAACAATGATAAACTGTGTAATGATTGTCAAAACAAGCAGCCATAATCATCAGCTTGTTATACAATATATATGACTTGTTCTTTACTAATAATTCTATCGTTATTTTTTTGTGACAGATAACGCGATTAAGATGGAAGTTACTACGCTCTGTACTGAGTCAAGAAATAGCTTTTTTTGATACAAATACGACAATGAACTTCGCATCAGCTTTAACAGAGTAAGTTAAAATAATCCTCTGATTTAAAATTTTTTTTTCATTTCTATAGGACTTACAATATTTCTGGAAGTTTTGATACAAACACAAGATACTCTGTATATTTTTAAATAAAACAGCGTTTTTGTGGCGTTCTATGCAAAAATACTAATGATCTATAAATATTATACATATTATAAGTAGTAATAATTTTTTTTGGTAGGAATTAAACCTTATACAAGATTTTCATAGTATTTGCTTTGTTTTTCTTAGAGACACGGAAAAATTAAAGATGGGTGTTGGAGAACATGTGGCCATGGCATCTTATTTGGGTGGAAGTATAGTGATGTGCTGCTCGGTCGCATTGGCGGAAGGTTGGCAACTCACATTGGCTGGACTAGCGGTAGTGCCAGTGTCGTTACTAATGGCGGCCACTGTTGCCAAAGTAAGTTAAAACTCGTAATATTTAGTTCCTATATCTGGTTATTCTAATATATCTGCAGAAAAACAAAGTCTAGCCTAGTTAGTGGCGGCCTAATGGTAAAAAAGGGCCCGCCTCTCATACACGAGGGCGCGGGTTCGATCCTGGCCCGGGCAAGTACCAATATGATTTTTCCGAGTCATATGTACTTTCTAAGTATTTAGACATCACTGATTAATGCATTCCCAAAAGATGATTGATGTCAGGCAGGCGGCCGGTCGTAAAAATAAATAGCCAAAACTAATCACAATATGTAAGGCAGCCCTTGCTATAGCTGGGAAATTGCCAGGTAGAAGAAAAACAAAGCCTAGCATCTGTAAATTTTGTAGCTATATACATCTTATTCAACTTATTCTATATAGAACTTGACCCGTTGGTCCGCTGAAGAAGTAACCGCGTATGGTACGGCGGGACGTATTGTAGAACAAGCGTTGTCTGCTATCAGGACAGTGAGAGCATATTCTGGAGAACACGTGGAAGTTGGGAAGTGAGTATTGAATATAATATACATATATATATATATAATAATGATTAGTTTATGTTTTGTATCCTTAAAGAAGAGTACGAATATGGAGTATGTAATCCTTTACCAAAATAAAGCTCGCGTAGTATATCCGAAAATTATTAGTTTCATACAAAGGAATAGGAATTCTATTTAACTATTTAAAATATCACTGTAAGAGTAACGTTTCATGTCTATTCATTGCGAAAAAGTTTATAATACTTTTGACTATTTCTATGAGTTAATTAAATATAAATTTTATATTATTATTATAATTTTTGTATATATCTCTCTTTTTTCCTCCAAATTTCTTTTCTCGTTTCGTCTATTAAAAGAGTTTCCTTTTAAGAGATAAGTTAACCATTTCTTTAATAATAATATAACTACAACTTTTTGGTATATAAATATATAAATTGTTATGAACTTCCCAGATACTCAGAAGCGCTAACTGCTGCTAGTTCTGCGGCTAAGAGGCGCTGTATGTGGTCAGGCGCGGGCGCAGGAGTTGGCTGGTTATTGACGTACGCTCTGAATGCGATTGTATTCGCTTACGGAGCAGCTCTGATAGTGAGAGATAGGAATGGAGGGGACTACCACCCAGGAGTTATGGTCTCGGTAAGTAATAACAAGTAATATATGGAAATTTTTACATTATAACAGTGTTATTGGCCATTTTTTGGTTAATCATACCAAAATCGACTGAATGACGACAATTATATGCAAATATTTGCAATTATAACAATTTTGTACGCTTTTTATGAGGAGTACCAAAATCTATTGAAGAATTGTCAGTGATAAATTAACAGCTCAGTCAAAATAGACATAGCAGTTTGCATTAATTCCCAACAAGTTGTATTTTTGTGCAGTCCTTGAATACGTCATTACTAATGATATGTCAAAAGTCCCCATCGATTTCGCTGGTGCGTTGTTTTTTCGAGATCAAAGATCACACATTTTACGTATACCTCTGAAACAAAGGAAGCTATCGAAAAATGGTTCAGATAAAGTTTGTAGATCGTAAAATTGTCTACAAAAAAGATCTCAATTATAATTTACTATATTTTGATTGCACTATAAGTGAACATAAAAGCCTTAATACAGTTGTTTATAACGTCATCTTAAATTTCCTAGGAAGAAGACATGTAAACGTATTAAAACTACGAATGACATTTAATACTGCCTTTACTTTTTGCATCCTTTTCTTAGATAACCTATTCTACTTTCTATCCCTTTCACACAACGACTAATCTTGCATCTCTCTCTTTCACACTCTAACGGTTCCATCATCGTATATTAACTGGATAACAATTCACAGATAATATAAAAAACTTGAAGACCTGGCGAACTTCGTATCGCCCTATAATCAAGAAATATCGATTGCGTTTTTTTATTTATATTTTTGGAGTTTAGCTATTAAAGCCATAAATCTCCGTGTTTTGAAGTGTGACAGAATGATTGACATGTTAGTTAGTTGTCAAATCTAATGTCAAAAAAAACGTTTGTATCAACAACTACAAATAAGTTAAAAAAACATTGTCTAGCGGACAAAATTGTGAATCTAAACAATTCCCAGATCCCCTTGAACATATACAAAAAATTTCATAAGAATCAGTTCAGTCCAGAAGAATTATATATATAAAGACTAGAAGACCCGGCGAACTTCGTTTCGCCCTATAATCAAGAAATATCTGTTACGTTTTTTTATTTATATTTTTGGAGTTTACCTATTAAAGCCACAAATCTCCGTGTTTTGAAGTGATTAGGAATGATTAATAGTTAATATGAGAGTTACACTGAGCTAGCAAAATAATAATTGTCAACGTTACTACTACACTTGATGCACAAACAATAACGATGGCCGACAACTGTGTAGGGAGTGAGAGAAGTCTAATTGTGTGAGAGAAACAGAAGACCGGCTTCGTTCTCATCCCTACTCCGTGCTGTTTACTGGGTCAGAAGTGACACCTGTAGATATCTGGCGGGGATAACTTATTAAATGACGATTGATCAGTTATCGACCGGAGATGAAAAATGATTAAATTACTAAAATAGCTATTAAAAAATAAGGGTTGATCGTAGAAGGGTGAAAATTTAGGATTGTAAGTATTTTTGTACGTTGTATCATAAAAAAATAGTAATTAAAAATTTTGTCTAAAAAATAAAAAAAAAAATTTAGGGGTGGACTACCCCTAACATTTAGGGGGATGAAAAATAGATGTTGGCCGATTCTCATAGCTACCGAATAAGCACAAAAAATTTCATCAAAATCGGTCAGGTTGTTTCGGAGGAGTATGGGCACGAAAACTGTGACACGAGAATTTTATATATTAGATGTTTTGACACATAATAGGAACCATAAAATTATAAAATTACTAATAAAAACAATTAATTTCCTTACAGATACTCTTCCTATCATTCATGGCGGCACAGAACATAGCTATGTGTAACCCGCACCTGGAAATCTTCTCAACAGCGAGAGGAGCTGCGAAGATCCTGTTCAAACTTCTGGAGAGGGAGTCCAGGATAAACGCTTTGGAGGAAACCGGGATAAAACCTGAAGGATTCAAGGGGAATATAATATTTGATAATTTATACTTCAATTACCCATCACGACCTGATGTGAAGGTAAATAAATAAGATAAGACGTAACAAATAACCGATTGACTCCCACTAGCATTCAATATTATTTTTATTCATAATTATATAGGTATATGTGATATAGCCAACTTAATTTGTAAATTATTAAATACTAGATTTCCGCCCGCAGCTTCGCCCGCGTGAGTTCGGTTATATCGCGTTTCCAAGAGAACCTTTCAAAAGTCTAGGATAAAAACTATTCTATGTTCTTTCTCAAGGTCAACTCTATGTCTGTACCAAATTTCATTAAAATCAGTTCAGTGGTTTAGACGTGAAAGCGTAATAGTTAAAATCAGTGTGCTTGAGACCACACAACTGAAGTAAAACTTCTTTCACTCCATCTATATGTAATAAGAAAATGCATATATTTCTATATTTATAATAAAGATAATTATCTTCACTAACTTATATCTCCCTCTCATTTCGTTCGCCTCGCCCGATCACACTTTTTGTAACGCTTTCTTTACGCATTCATCAGCTTACTCCAAAGTCAAGAGTTCATAAATAAGCTTTACTTCAATAGATATATAGATAATACTAAAAGTGAGCTAATGCCTATGTATTACCTTATAATCCCTACTAATATTATAAATGCGAAAGTAACTCTGTCTGTCTGTTACGCTTTCACGCCTAAACCACTGAACTGATTTTAATTAAATTTGGTACAGTGGAGTTGATTTTAAGAAAGAACATAGGATAGTTTTTATCCCAGACTTTTGAAGTGTTTTCTTGGAAACGCGATACAACCGAACTCCACGCGGGCCAAGCTTGTGTTATATAAATCAGTCATTCAGTGGCTTAGACTATATTTATAGTTATTTATCTTGTTTGTTATCTTTCCAGGTCCTTCGTGGTTTAACCTTAAAGGTTACAGCCGGAGAGACCGTGGCGCTAGTCGGTGGGTCAGGATGTGGCAAGTCCACGTTACTACAGCTGTTACAGAGATGTTATGAACCAGACAGTGGGAATGTACTCGTTGATGGACATAAACTGAACAAACTGCACTTACATCACTTCAGGAAAAGTATTGGTGAGATATATGGATCAGAAAATAATTTAATTAATTAAGAGATTAATTTAATTGATAAATATGTAGAAGGATAAGTTGATAATTGAAAAATAATATTGAAGAACACTTCTTTAAACAAGAACTTACATAGTAATGATCTAACTTTCGCGAGTATTCATCTAGATGAAACCTACATATTCGGATTACTACGATTATTATGATTATCATTATAAGGTTTCAGTTACTTTACAGCAACCGTGATCACGGACAGACGAGATGTGAATGTCTGTCAGTTGGTCTTGTTATTTATCATCAAATGACAAATAATGAGACCAATTTTTGGTTTTAATATTATTAAATACGCATAGTTATCTGAATAATATTAGTTTCATTAAACTTACATAATATATTGGAAGACTGATATCTCGAAAATATATAAAGATAAAAACGTATCTATACATTGTGTTTTTTTATATATACATATATATAATAAGTGGTTTATACTAAGGAAATTAATTTTACCTCTCCTTATAGGTGTGGTAGGCCAGGAGCCGGTTCTGTTCAGCGGCACCATCCGTGACAACATCACACTCGGAGTAGAAGGAGCGACTGAAGCTGACGTCATTGAAGCTGCGAAAACTGCGCACGCACATCAATTTATAGTCAAGCTTGCTAATGTACGGTGAAATTTACAACAAGCTTATTTCTCTCTTCTACCTGACAATTTCCCAGCTTTAGCCGGGGTCTGCCTTACATGCTGTGAACAGTTTTGGCTTATTGTTTTTACGACCGGCCGCCTGCCTGACATCAACCCTCTTTGGGAATGCATTAATCAGTGATGTCTAAATACTCTTAGAAAGTACATGTGACTCGCAAAAATCAAATTGGTACTTGCCAGATCGAAACCGCGACCTCATGCATGAAAGGAGGGCATTTTAACCATTAGGCCACTACTAACAAACTAATTTTTATATACGATCATACATTACTGGAAATAAAACATCTCCGAATGCTTATTTAAAAACATATATAAGGGTATTACCAATATTCATGACGAGTACTTTGACCATAGTAATAATTGGCTTTTATTGTTGCAAAGTACCATTGCATAAAACTTCTTGTACTATTCATAACTTAATGACTTTGCTTTACTAATTCATACTTTTCATTTTTTCAGGGTTATGATACGTTTTTGGGTGAGAAGGGAGCGCAGTTATCCGGCGGTCAGAAGCAGCGGGTGGCTATAGCCAGGGCTCTTCTTCGTAAGCCGGCTATATTGCTTCTGGATGAACCAACTTCTGCTTTGGATCCGGCTTCAGAAAGACAGGTTGATAATTGTGACATATGGACGCTATTCTCATTCACACACATACATATATATGTATCTGAATGGGACTGTCTCCCAGAATGCTATTTTTCTGGACATCTTCAACAAATATCGTAAATGTACTCACAAATCAATACAAAACCTTAACAAATTTTATATTAAAACCTTCTTCGAGAATCACGCTATCGACTGATGAAAACTGCTTGATAATTGGTGCAGTAGCTTTTTTGTTTATCGCGAACAAACAGACAGACGCGGCCGGGGGACATTGATTGATATATATACATATATATGAAATGATTAAAGAACATACATATGAAGCAATACAGGTTGCTTTAAGTAACGTCAGAACTGTAATTATTTAACGATCTTTTATAGATTTTGAGAATGCAAATATATGTAGCTATGTATGTATAATTATTATCTTGTGCCAGGTACAAGCAGCCTTAGATGCTGCCAGCGAAGGAAGAACTACACTCGTTGTTTCACACAGGTAACTTATCTTTTAATTTACATCTATGTATGAGGTTATCTAAAGCATTCTTTTTTAAAGAAACACAATAAACTCGTAAAAAACTTCAAAACAATGATATCTAAGACTTTCGCGAGTATTCATTTAAATAAAACTAATATTTTAGGATTATTACGCGTAATTTTATTATTTTTGTAACTACATACTTTCACGTATGGGTTGCTGCAAAGTTAAGAGTATGTCATTTTTTTTCATAATATAATAATCCATAGTAATCTAAAAATATTGGTTTTATCTTCAATTAATTTTTTTCTTATTAAAGATTATCAACAATAGAGAAGGCGTCCCGCATCGTGTATGTAGAACAAGGAGCTGTTCTTGAACAAGGAACTCATGAAGAACTGGTTGAGAAAAAGGGAGCTTACTGGAGACTTCTACAAGAAGATATGACGAACAAGTAAATATATTAATAATATTATTATATATTGAAGTTTTTACCTTCACCAAAGACTTTACAAATAAAGAGGACTTAATACAACTGAAATCTACAAGTTGGTATAAAGATTGTCTTATTTAATACTAGCTTTCCGTCTCCAGCTTCGCCCGCGTGAAGTTATTATATCGCGTTTCCAAGATAACCTTTAAAAATTCAGGGATAAAAACTATTCTGTTCTTTCTCAAAGTTAACTCTGTCTGTACCAAATGTCATTAAAATCAGTTCAGTGGTTTATGCGTGAAAACGTAACAGACAGACAGAGTTACTTTCGCATTTATAATGTTAGTAGGGATATTATATGTAACTTTCAATTATTAATATTGATATAATTATATTTTAATCGTCTTTAAAGTATAATATGCCTTATTTGTATCAAGAAGTTCTATATAAGTGAGTTCTATAATATAGGAATAGTAAGATGTGAAGAATGAAATTTTTATTTTACTCATAACCTGTCAAATGTCCTTTCATGCTAATTATTGAGATTTTCTTCTATTTTGATAACTATGTAATATAAGTGTTTTATTTTTAGGAATATAGAAAATATATTAGCAGAATCTCAAGATGATGATGAGGTGGTCGAAAATCAAATTGAATTTAAAAGAGTCAATCGGGCTAGTAGTGTGATCTCTACACAAAAAGGTAAGGGTTATATATATTTTATCTACAAGTATCTTATGTATAATAGACATATTCTACTTAGTTTTGCTATAATCATTACAGTATAGTTAATATAAACTATTTGGAAGAAATTCTATAGTAAGTTATAATTATTTAATAAATAATTAGCCTATCAGAGCCCACTGCTGAGCAAAGGCCTCTTCTCAAATGGAGAAGGTTTGAGCATTAATAAATCACAAATACTTGGAAATTTTTAGTTAATACGAATTGAATTTGTAAATACGAGTCAATATTTACGTTGTTAATAACTCTTTATGTATTTTAAATAATATTTTAAAGGTTAATACTTGTTTTTTCAGATAACTTTGTCAGAGACAGTTTCGTGCGAGGCAGTCGCCGCCTCGGTCCAATCTCAACTGTTCCAACAACACCAGTTTTATCTGATGATGAAGAAGATGTGAGTTAATAGAATAAAGTCAAGAAAACGGTTCAATATATAGGACTATTCCAGTTATTTTAATTTACTATTCTGTGTTCAACTATAAGTATAAAAAATCATTAAAATAATATCCAAAAATACCTTACGAATTCACAGAGTGAGCATTTATGAGTCAAAGCCCTACATTTTTCTTCAAAATTACATTTTTCCTAGCCTATCTACTTAATCGTTTTCTTGTCTTAAACCCTTATATCTTCTATCATAATTTCTAAATCATGTTATATATATACAGGAACCGGAAGTCCCAGTATCAACGTGGCGCCTCCTGTTATTAAACGCTCGTGAGTGGCGCCACCTGGCGGGCGGGTGTGCAGCCTCGCTGGTGATAGGAGCCACGATGCCGGTGTTTGCATTCCTCTTCTCAAAACTATATCGGGTAAGATTGTTTTGTTATTCTTGAAACACAAATAGAAAGTTATTATTAATAGGAAGTTCATGAAATTATTATTAACTAGCTTTCCGCCCGCAGCTTCGCCCGCGTGGAGTTCGGTTATGTCGCGTTTCCAAGAGAACCTTTCAAAAGTCGGGGATAAAAACCATCCTATGTTCTTTCTCAAGGTCAACTCTATCTCTATACCAAATTTCACTAAAATGAGTTCATTGGTTTAGGCGTGAAAGCGTAACAGACAAACAGACAGACAGAGTTACTTTCGCATTTATAATATTAGTAGGGATCTATTTCACATACCAAACATAAAATCTGTAGGAAACGTAATATTTTCTTATGTTCTTTTACACACTATTATCAAGTAATTCAAAATTTAGTAAGACTTAATTAAATTGTTTAATGTACACACACGGAAGTGTATCCAGTGGAACAACGAAAGGCCTCATACTTACTTAATTATTATCACAACACATTTGTAAAATTCCTCGGTAACAGCATATTTATTTATTTAAGATCCACCAGTGATAATTACATTAATACAATATTGGGTAAAAAGAAATACAGTGTAGCTTAATTCTAAATGTATTATCTTTTAAGGCAGATACAGCATGCAAATATTAGGAAGTTTATAAATGATCTATTACGTTATATAGTTAATGTGCACTAAAATAGGGGTTGCGGAGCTGACAAACTCTTAGAATAATCCTTCTGAACTTACTCGACAGGCTATTAAGTCGTGAATCGTGATTTTCATACCAATTATATTAATTTCAGATGTTCTCATGGCCAGATCCTGATCAAATCTTAGAATACTCTCAGTTCTACGCCGCTATGTTCGCCTGCGCGGCCGTCATCAGCGGGATCGTGACGTTCCTACAGACTTATCTGTTCGGAGTGGCGGGCGCGAAACTAACTGACAGACTTAGGACAATGACCTTTAGCAATTATTTGATACAAGTGAGTTACAAGTATTTTTGGCAATGTGGGTTGTTGGAAGGTTAAGTTGAGCAAGGAAAAGATGTACATCAAGAAACAAAAAGAATACCAGACATGTGAATCTACAAGTATGCATTTGCAGAGTAAAAGACAGAAGACTTGATAAAGATTAAGATGATATAAAATATGATAAATTCAATATATTCCTTTTTCTTCTATATAAATCTTCTCCATGTGAGAAGAAGCCTTTGCTCAGCAGTGGGCTCTGATAGACTGACAATATATGTATTCCTTACACAGTTAAATGATATTTTGAATACAAATTTACATATAATTTGTTTCCCAGGAACAAGGCTGGTTCGATCTACCTAATAATTCAGTTGGTTCGTTGTGCGCTCGACTTGCTACTGACTGCGCGGCTGTTCAGGGTGCTACTGGTAAATAAACTTGTATTATTATTCTGACATTACCAAAATAGTGTTAATTGTTCTTCTATCTGGCAATCTCCCAGCTTTAGCCAGGGTCTGCCTTACATGTTGTGAATAGTTTTGGCTAATTGTTTTTACGGCCGACCGCCTGCCTGACATTGACCCTCTTTTGGGAATGCAAAAAAAATACTGTTAATTGTTAAAGCAAAATTAATTATAAGGGTGGGATCGTGTCTTATAATCGTGCAGAAACGAATCTGCTCATTTCTTTTCAAGATGAATATAGTGAATTTGATTTGAAGCTAGTAATAGTTTGTTGTAATCTTTATATATATATATATATATATATACAGGGTGACTGGTGAATTACTATCAATACTTGAGGACGTGATATTTGACGATTATATATGACAAAATAAAAATTAATATAACATAAATATTAATAAACATCTAAGTAAAGTTAACCAAAAGTTATGTAATTAATTACGCATCGTGTGCACACCCTACAGATTAGGTATACACTCACACACACATACGCGCGCGGCGGCGTGGTGTTGTATCAGCACGCCGCCGCACGCGTCCACACTTGGAACACTTGGAGCGTGTCAACACTTTATTTATTTATACGGAAATTTTGTCAAAAAATAAGTGCCTATTTTTTTTACATAATTCGAATGAGAATCATGTACCGAGTACTCTCCTAAAATATTGATATATATATATATATATATATATATATACAGTATGTAATACAGCAAATGGCGTTCCCTTGAACACGTTAATATATATCACTAATAGATTAAAATTAATATATCAGCATAGAAAAATAAGCACAAAATAATCTAAATAAAAAAATAATAATTTATTCACAATAATTTCGAAACCTCCTATATGTATGTGGCGCGGAATAGAACGTATGTATCTAGCGTAGTAGCATTGCCGAAAGTGGCAACGTCGCAATACGCACGATGCCGAGCGGCGCCTTTTGTAGTGGCGGCATATTGAATTATAAAGACACGTAGTCGGATTGTTAACAGTAAAAATAAACATTTTAAATGTATGTTTAGTTTTAGAAATAACACTTAACCCGTCTCAAATGTATCGCTGACTAAGGAACGTGTCACTGAGGTACCTATTCGCAAACAGTAAATAAAAAAAAAACAAATTCAACCATCATATCTAAGACACGTTTCAATAACATTACAATAATAATACAGAGAATTAGACAGAATTTGCACGCAACGGCCGAGTAATGAACGCGGGGCGGTGGGGCGGTAGCGCCTTTGAGTTCTGCCGACACGTCGCCGTCATGTCGCCGCCCGCTCGTTGTTACAAAATAAACAAATGAGTCGTATAGGATCAAAGGCGGCAATCTACGCTTAGACTGAAATCAAAGAATTGAAAATTTTCGGTTTGTGTCGTCCGTTTCAAAAATGATATTACGTAACTTTATTTTAAGTGATGTAAGTATTGATGCGCTTAATATTAAACTCTCATTGTGTACTATAAAAATAACAAATTGAAGAAATTTACAGGCTTAGAATGTACATCCATGATTCAATTTATACATTTATTTTATAACAGTAATCACAATAAATAAAATAATTCAATAAAAACACGGACACAAATTCGTTAGAAACTTCATACAGACGTCATTAGATCACGTGACCACACGGACGCTTGTGATTGGTGGAATGAGTTAGAATGCCGGGTTTGATTCTTATGCTGTTGAAGATTGCCGAATTTGATGCTAAACCTGATTTTCAAAAGGGATTTCACTCCGAGATAGTCGTTTTTGTTATAAAGTAAATTAAGTACGTAACGTTATTTTAAATTTCCATATAAAAATCTTTATTTTGATAAAATGTGCAGATTGCCGCCTTTGATTCTATACGACTCAAATACTAGTTAATACAGAAGGTCTACTCGCTGGGTACATGAATTTGCTTTACACATTAAGTTGGATGAAAGTTTATTTAAACCACAGTTTAGGCTAGCATTTAAATGATCATGGTGGTGTTACACAATTTATTTACAGTTCACATGGAGGTATTAAGCAGTTTTAGGAAAGAGTTCTGAACTTATTAATTTTGTGGCACACTCGTTTAGTGTTATTTTTTTTTAATGTTCTCGAAATGTTTAAGGTATTATGATACATTTAAATAATGTTAAAACTTACCTAGATTTTGAACTGCTCGATATGCTGACCTGCTCTGTCTACACATTGTTGCAATCGCCGACGGTTATTTTCGTGCACTTTTTGAAGTGAGTACGGATGCTGCTTGTTTCTCTTTAATATTTTAAACACTACGACGTGACTCATATTGAACAGGCGGCCGGCTCTTCTGGTGCTTGAACCGGGCTCCTCCTCAAAATGCCTTAGCACGTTCTCTTCCTGCCGCACTGAAATCACGGGTCGCGGGCCACCTGAACGACGCGGCACTACCGGCTCATTATTACGCATACGCACTAGGGCATTCACAATTACATACTCCTGCGCACTGAACTGATAACGCGGCATCTTTCACACGAAAATACGTAGACGTAGTAATGCGGAAATAATAGACGTGCGATCCCGGTCAGCGGCGTGGGATTACTAAATAGTAAATACTAAAAAATAAAATTTCGCGGACGTTCGGGGGCGGGGGTCGGGTGACACTTTAAAATCGTAGATCAATCGAATGCCGCATACGCGGCCCGTCTTTTATAAGTAAGTTGCGACGTTGCCGTTCTTCAAATATGCGTGTACAGGATGTTTCTTTTACATGTAAATTTAATATTTTTAATGATTATTTTTAAATAAAAAAAAATAAAAAACATTTTGTTTTCGATTGGTAATATTTTTTTTAGCATGTATGGATGCTACATTATTGCGGATTAATGGGAACTTGAATCGTTAGTTGACATACTGTATATATATATATATATATATATAAGAAAGTTGTGTTAATTACACTATTTATAACCCAAGAACGACTGTACGGATATGATTGGAAATTGGTGGAGAGATAGATTAGAACATAGAAAGGAAATTGAATACTTTTCATTATATTGAAAAATAAAAAAAATATAAGATGATCAAATTCAAAATCTTCTTATCTACTGTCTTTAAAGAAGAATAGTGTTCGTCCGGTCATCTATATATTATTATTCTAAAACAAACGCAGACGAAGTCATTGGTAAAAACTAGTATAGACAAAAATTTACCTTACTAATTCAACTAGATCGTATGAACAGTTGTATGGGTAGTTGGAAAAACTTAGAATTTTCTCCCCTATCATATTTCCTTAAATATAACTATTATAAGCTATGTTTAAGAATAATGTTTCTTTAGGTACTAGACTGGGCACCATGCTGCAAGGCATCAGTACCATGGTGTTAGGAGTTACGCTAGCCATGGTGTACTCATGGAAAATGACTGTCGTCAGTCTACTCAGTGTTCCTTGTGTAAGATATCAATAATAACCTTATTTTTATTATCTAAGTTATGATTTTAATGTATTTTCATCATTTTTCCACTTTATGTTTAAAGTGACGACCATAATGAAGTATCTATAGTAGATTAATCATATAATATTTGAATAGCAAAATCTGTATAACTGACCGTAGATCAAAACATTTATTAAACGGTTTTAATCTAGGCCCAAAATTTCCGCAAAAACTGCCATCTACTGTGTTTTTCAAGCAATTTTTAATGTTTAACCTATATATTTTCAGGTAATTGGCGCTATATGTCTTGAAGGCTGGATCACGAAGAAGTGTGAAGTGAAGGAGCGGAAGGCGTTAGAAGCGGCCTCTCGCCTCGCAACTGAAGCTGTTATTAATGTTCGGACTGTACATAGTTTAGGTATTATAGTTTGAAATAATTTTCTTAATAAAAACATACAGATTCTTATATGAGAAATTAATAAATAAAAAGAGTTAAAACCAGTGTGCTTTAGACTTTACATGATGATGATTCATGAACCGTAACACTCTATCTTCACTAACTAATATCTCTTTCGTTCGCCTCGCCCGATCACACTTTTCGTAACGCTTTCGTAACGCAAGCGTACGTAAAGAAGTTTTACTTCAAAAATAATGTGTGTAAAATACAATAGTGTCCAACAGTTAACATATACATAGTAAATAAGTTATTTTATGTACATTTACAAGGTACTACTTACAATATTTTTTCCGTAAGCATTTTACGTTTCATATTTGGTCACACTTAGGCTCATGTATTATATACATTATTATTCACTGTGTTTATTAATACATACTGACTATTTAAAAACACATATATATAAGTATATCGATTTTTTTTTAATTATTGGTACATTCTAACTAAAATACACAACAACATCATTGACAGTACATAAAAATTCCATCCAAATACTTCTTTAGTTACTTCTAACTAATCAACCACATATTTTCTTCTCCCCAGGTGTAGAGCACACGATCTTAACTCGTTACTCCACCCTCCTCTCATCGTGTGCACAGAACAGCACAGTGTATGTGCGCGGGCCTGTGTACGGTCTGTGTCTGTGCGCGCCCACACTGGGCTACGCTGTGTCCCTCGCGTACGGAGGATACTTGATAGCTAGGGAGGACTTGGAATATGATTATGCTATATTGTGAGTTACATAGATATTGTTAGGGTTGACCGCTTTGGCCTATTTGGTCATTTGGGTCAATATACAGGGTGACTGGTGAATTACTATCAATATTTTAGGAGAATACTCGGTACACGATTCTCATTCGAATTATGTAAAAAAAATGGTACTTAATTTTTGACCAAATTTCCGTATAAATAAATAAAGGGTGGACACGTTCCAAGTGTTCCAAGTGTGGACGCGTGCGGCGGCGTGCTGATACAACACCACGCCGCCGCGCGTGTATGTGTGAGTGTGTGTGTATACCTAATCTGTAGGGTGTTCACACGATGCGTAATTAATTACATAACTTTTGGTTAACTTTACTTAGAAGTTTATTAATATTTGTTATATTAATTTTTATTTTGTCATATATGATCGTCAAATATCACGTCCTCAAGTATTGATAGTAATTCACCAGTCACCCTGTATATTAATGCATAATTTTTTGGGCTAGCATATAAAAAAATTGTTTCAATTAACGTCATTAATCTTTTAATGATTATTATCAACCGATTTACCGATTTGTTTAGCATTGGTTCAATATATATATTAATGCCCATCTTTTTTGGCCAGTTTATCAATAATAGTCAATACTGGTTTTGCCACACGAAATTTGATAGCAGAATTTTATTTTATCAATCTACCGTCATTATTAAAATCACAGTTGTCAGAAGTCAATAGCCTCATAATAATTTGTTTTATTTCAGAGTATCTGAAGCGTTAATCTACGGAGCCTGGATGTTGGCTGAAGCTTTATCATTTGCACCAAACTTCACGGCAGCTAAACGTTCGGGCGCCAGAATAATAAGAGCCCTTGATAGAAAACCAAAGATCGTCACCGAAGATACCGCTGTTGATGATGATTGGGTGAGACGTATATTAATATGACCAGCATTAAATGATCCTTACACTAAATATTTTCAATTTAAGGTATTTTTCTCGTGAAACGTGGTTATTCAGACTGTCTTAGGAAATATTGTAGTGAAAAGATGTGTAAATCTTAAAGAGTTTTCATATTCGTACATTAATAAGTCAGTCAGTGAAATAGAAGTCGTAATAATATTTTGACTTCACATTAAATATTATTTATTATTGAACCAAAAATAGTTGTTACATTATTATAAAAGAAATTGATAACTTATCTCTTAATAGAGATCCCTAACAGAAACACTTTTGATAGAAAAAAAACAAAAAAGGAATGTATGTGGGTACAATAAAAAGACAAAAAGAAAATTTTAAATTTGTACTTATCATCGATTACGTACTTTATTTACTTTTTGTCTTATATCAAAGAAAACCAAATTATAATTTAAATTTAGACACTAATATGATAATAGGTTTCTTCTATATATATACATATATATGTATCTTCTTCTTCCTGGCAGTTTCCCAGCTTTAACTAGAGTCTGCCAAATAAATAAATAAATAAATAAATATATATGTATACTAGAAGACCTGGCGAACTTCGTATCGCCCTATAATCAAGAAATATCTGTTACGTTTATTTTATTTATTTTTTTGGTGTTTACCTTTAAACCATAAATCTCCGTGTTTTGAAGTGTGACAGAATGATTGACACATTAGTTAGTTGTCAAATCTAATGTTAAAAAAAGTTTGTATCAACAACTACTCATAAATTAAAAATTGATTAAAAAAACATTGTCCAGCGGACAAAATTGTAAATCTAAACCATTCCCAGATTCCCTTGAACAAACACACAAAATCCAATCGTTTGACAGAAGTTCAATGACGTACACACTCACAGAAGAATTATATATATAAAGATGAATGTTTAATAATCTTTTTGTATTTACAGACCGCGAGTGGTAACATATGTTTGTCCAACGTCCACTTCCACTACCCCACTCGGTCCAAGGTCCCAGTACTGAGAGGTCTGTCCTTGGAGCTAGCTGCGGGTCGGACCCTCGCGCTGGTCGGACCCTCGGGCTGTGGCAAGAGCACCGTCATGCATCTGTTACTGAGGAACTACGACCCTGTTAGGGGAGATGTCGTGAGTTAATTAACACTTTTTTGTACACCACAATTACAAAATATATAAACAAATGGTGAAACAAAAGGTCGCCTTGTGGCTTATTAGCCATTTCTTAGTTATTGTTTAAGTTAGTTATTGTTTATATATAATAATAATAATAATGTTTATTTATCCCAAACACATTACAATTGTATAGACATTAACATTATCTGATCACAATGCATAAAGGTAAAAGGTATTTATGTAAATAAAATCTACTGTCCCTGAGCTAGATATAAACCTGTATTTCAGGCGACAGTACTCTCCTGTTGCAGAGGATTCATTTTACCAAGTTTACTAAAGTGGAATAGCGAAAAAAGTCAACACAATATATTATATAGTGTATGCTAAGCATATTATCGTTAGCTTTTTCTTAGAATATAACTAGTATAGTAAAATAGAATTAGTAGTATGTGTAAAATTGAGCATGAGTATATTTGAGATGTTTGTGTGTGAGTGTTTGTATGTGTGTTTTTGTCCTTTCATGTTTAAATTTATTAAAATGAAACTAATATTATTCGGATTTCGATTACTTTTCAGCAACCGTGATCACGGACAGATAAGAGTATGCAGTAAAAAACTACATATCGGTTTTTTAAAATAATAAAATACGCGTAATAATCCAAGTAATATTAGTTTCATTAAAATGAATACTCGAAAGTCTTAGATCTCATAACATGAATTTATTTCTGCACCAGACTTTGGACAACCGAAACATCAAAACATCTCTGACGCTGAACAAACTCCGAGCTCAACTAGGTCTGGTGCAGCAGGAGCCGGTGATGTTTGAGAGGTCCATCAGGGAGAATATAGCGTACGGAGACAACACGCGCCCGGTGTCCAACGAGGAGGTCATACACGCCGCGAAAATGGCTAACGTGCATACATTTGTAGCTGGATTGCCGCTGGTAAGGAAATAATATAGATATCATTACAAAAATTAAGTCTATAGACAGATATATCTCTCTACAAGCTTCTAAAAGACTTGGGCCTGTCCAGAATTAATATTAGTTGATTCTTGTAACGTATTTCGAAGATAAGGATCCCTTAAACCTACACCTTATATTTAAACTAGTGTTAAAAAGAATTGGACATGAGGATGAATTAGCAAAACTAAATCAAAACTTTTCTACAGTTTCCGTACATTGAATTCTTTCTCTATATGTATATTGTTTATTGAATCGGTTATTCCTTTCTTCCCTAACTTGGGGTTCCAGTAAAATAAACATAATTAAAAATACTTTTATAAAAATAACATAGAAATTACAATACCGAAAGTAAAGAAAGAAACATTATACTAATATATTTTAAGCTTCATATATTAATACTTAAATAGATCGTAAAGAAGTGTAAACTTTAAGTATTATAAATTAAAAGGCTTTTTATTTATTTCTATATCCATATATACTAGAAGACCCGGCGAACTTTGTATCGCCCTATAATCAAGAAATATCTGTTACGTTTTTTTATTTATATTTTTGGAGTTGACCTATTAAAGCGATAAATCTCCGTGTTTTGAAGTGCGACAGAATGATTGACATATTAGTTAGTTGTCAAATCTAATGTCAAAAAAAAAAGTTTGTATCAACAACTAGTAATAAATTAAAAACTACATAAAAAAACATTGTCCAGCGGACAAAATTGTGAATCTAAACCATTCCCAGATCCCCTTGAACACACACAAAAAATTTCATCAAAATCGGTCCAGTCGTTTGAGAGAAGTTCAGTGACATACACACTCACAGAAGAATTATATATATATAAAGATATATATTAATATTCCAGGGATACGACACAGTTCTAGAGGCGGGTAGCGCGGCTCTCTCCGGTGGACAGAAACAACGCGTGGCCATCGCGCGGGCTCTGTTACGGAACCCGAAGATATTATTACTGGATGAAGCGACCTCCGCCTTGGACGCTGCGGGGGAAAAGGTAATACACGAACTTTATTTATTAAGATACACCATCGACTTATCATAACAACTAACACAATATTATATGCACTAAATATACAATCCAGTATGATTTGCCTTTACAGGTGTATACAACATTGTTTTTTTACTAAAATACAGACTAAACGGTATGAAACTAAAATAAAACAAAACAAATAAAAACTAGGTTAAAACAAAGCTAAAAACTAAGAAACAAAACTGATAACAATATTAATCTACTTAATCTAGGTAGGATAGAGAAGTAGAGTGCTATAAATAATTGTCAACCTTTACTTATTACAATCGTTCTTCGTCGTAAATAGCATCTAAACACTTCCTAACAAATTTGGCACAATCTTACAACTTACATGGAGACTCATGAAACATTCAAGATGGTAGAGCCTAGCTGTGGTTATAATACAGCTCGAACATGGTCTGTCTCGTTGAAGTACCACCCTCTCACTGAAGATCGGTGTGAAGTCGACTTTAATGGATGCGTTTTGTATGATGAGTGAGAGAGATAGTTGCTCTTTTTTTCCAATTTCCCTCCCCTTCTTAAACAATCAAGGTCGGCAAAGCATCCGAAAAAACTATGTCGTGAATGTCCATAGGCGACGGTACCTGACATCAGATAGAAGGTTTTCTCATTTGTCACCTTTGAGTATGAAAAAATATATTAAATACTGTTCCCCAAACATGTTAATAAACATTTTGGATGAATATTAATCAACGTTTTTGGAGTTAAGAAATCTTTTTATGCATATTAAAGCATAGATTTTTGGTTATCACAGAACCTATGATAATTATATTACAAAGACTAACACAGTTACAAGTGGCGCCATCTGTGACGTACTAATTATAACATACTATAATTGTTACAATAATTTATATAACTGATTGTAATTAATAATAATACTGAACCATTGTAATGTTGTATCAACATGAGTATCATTGTGTTTGTAAACTATATGTCTTCAGACATTTTGTAACATTACTAGAAGTAATGAACATCAAGAATCAAGACAAACAATATATGTTTACTAAAAGGTTACTTATAATAACTGAATATTTAATATTCATGTTTCAGATAGTACAAGCAGCGCTCGAGTCAGCGTCCAAGGATCGCACGACCGTCATCATCGCTCACCGGCTGGCGACCGTGAGGCACGCGGACGTTATATGTGTACTTGATAAAGGTACCACTTATTATCGTGATAGCCTAGAGGTTAAAAGTCCGCCTCTCATGCATGAGGGCGCGGGTTCGATCCTAGCAAGTACCAATGTTATTGTTCCGAGTCATATGTACTTTATATAGTATTTAGACACCACTGATAGATGAAGAAAAATATTGTTAGAAAAAATGGATTTATAATTTACAATTATAAGTTTGAAATCACCAACCCGTCTTGAGCAAGCGTGGTGATTTATCAAACCTTCTCCATGTGAGAAGAGGCAGCTCAGCAGTGGGCTCTGATAGGCTGACGATGATGATTATACAACCCCTAAAGGCACCATGATATTTGAAAATTTCAATTAAGATAGGATATAAACGCTGAATTCCTCGAAATTCCGAACATTTGTCTTTTCTTAAAATTTGAGTTCTAAAGCATTATTAGACAAACTTAATTAGATATTTAACATCAATGTAAACAAGCCAACTAGTATAGAAATTTCAACTCCAATGACGCATTTCAATAATTCTTATAACTACGCCTACATTCAATCATATAACGTTTTTTCCAGGCGTGGTTGCTGAAAGCGGTTCACACGAAGAATTAGTTAACAAACGAGGATTATACTGGGAGCTACTACAACAACAAGGACAGACGGGAGACGCGTGACCAACAGTTTGATAGTTTACTTAAATAGAATGAATTAACTAATACTTGGGGCTGTGATCTTGGAATGTGAAGACGGGAGGCGTACTCTTGTTAGGGTTGTCGATAGTGAGAAATAGGGCTTTGAAATGGCAGAATAATGGCTAGTTAAAAGAGAATTAGGATGTTAAATATAGGCAACCCTATACTAGATAGATAGATACGTACTGTGTCAAATATAAATTATATCAAATATTATATCAAAGGAAATTTTCTGTCAGAATTTCTCCTTTGATTTAATCTAGCTTGTATTTCTAACTATTAAATTCTTGGTGAAGCTGTCACAGCTAAACCGATAAGCTTTAAACTTCTCATATTTACTTATTTGTTATTATTTTCCTTATTTTAAATAATTAATATTATTAAAATAGTGTCATATACTGAAAGTATTTTAAGTTATAAATTAATTAATAAAATTATATTATTGTGATAAAAACTTAATTATTGTATCTTTGAGTGTGATGTGTTTAAAAATATTGTTTTATGTATTTAATGGTGCGTCAGTATAGTGAGAATGTACCCGCCACGCACAGAAACGACGTGGTGGGTTAAGCATAAACCTTTTTTTGTATTTAAAAAGCCTAACTTCTGAAATGTAAACACTCTAACATGAGAAAAAAATCTTATAACGAGGCTTTTAGACATGTTGTTAAATTGAAATCACAAAAGTCAAAAAAATATATTAATAAACTTAATCTTGCATGAAATTAATATGTTTTTCATTTATCCTCTCTTATAATTCTAATAGCCAGAAATTTTCTTCATATTATAATTATCAAGCAGGTATAAATAATCTTCTATATATATAAAAATGGATTGCTGTTCCTTAGTCTCGCTAAAACTCTAGAACAGCTGAACGGATTTATTTTATCCTAGTCTTGAAAGGTTCGTGGAGGTTCAGGGAAGGTATAAAAGCTGAAAAAAATTGATACATTACTGGGAAAACCATAAAAACAGCCCTTTTCTATTTCCCATACAAACGTTTTTTTTTGACAACTAACTAATATGTGAATCATTCTGACTAAATAATTATACTATACTATCACAGCGACCAGCACTCTAAAGCTATCAGTAGTGATGAAAGCAATTTCTGAGACTAGACGCTATAAGTGTACAAGCTAATTTGAGTTCTAATATCAACAACATAAAGTCGAGATAATTAACCGCATGTGTTTGTATGACTACTTTTTTCGGCAACTTATAATTGACGATCGCGCGTAGACATTATCCAGGAACTAGTGAAATTGAATTTAAAGCAAAAGAAATGACACAACTTATAATAATAATAAACGTATGAGTCCCCGGAACAGATTAGAAGGACCCGAAGGAACTAATATATAGACTAGTCATCTATACTTATAATAAATCTGCAGAGAGGTCAATTCTGTACATGAAATGTATTTAAAAAATATCTATCAAGAGGTGATTAGGGATCGCTACTGATGCCAAAAATGCGTTTGGCATCAGTATTATTCTTCATACTCTTGGGCAGGTTAAAGTATACTTTTCATTACGCTACGATCAATAGGAGCAGAGCAGTGAAGGGAAATATTGGGAAAACGGGAGAAGTTACTCCATTTTTTAAGCTTCCGTCGCGTGTTCAGGCTTATAGGTTAAAGCTACCTAGAAATCATGTATGACGGAAATATTCTCCTTAAAATTATATAAAAAGTATTCCTCCACAGCATATGTATATCTTTTATGGTTGACTCACAAGATTTCTGATTTTATTTGTCTACTCTAACGTTTACAACACTATCACTCATCCCTAATTTAAAAAAAATTTAGATTTTTACCTATTCAATAAAAAAAGAATCATGTAAATCAGTGTAGAAACATCAAAGTTATACATGAAATAATAAGTCATCGAGCGTGAATACAGAGTCTATAAGGATTATTTTTATGTATCGGTTGACGCCCTCGACGCGCGTCGCGGCGGGAGGTTTAAAATATTTGACTGTTGACCTAATTGACACACAATAATTGTTATTTGCAAACCATGTTTATCAGCACGACTTTTAATCTTTGAATAGATTATTTTTAGATTTGTTTTGTTAATATCCCTACTAACATTATATATGCGAAAGTAACTGTCTGTCTGTTACGCTTTCACGCCTAAAGCACTGAACTGATTTTAATGAAATTTGGTACAGAGGTAGAGTTGACCTTGAGAAAGAACATAGGATAGTTTTTATCCCAGACTTTTGAAAGGTTCTCTTGGAAACGCGATATAACCGAACTCCACGCGGGCGAAGCCGCGGGCAGAGAGCAAGTTTAATATATATAAAACTCATCATATATGTAGATAAACATAGTTCAGTCGATACAGGATTGTGTATACAATATATTTTTGGGTAGCCCGAAACGACTTAACCTAAAGCCGGTATCTCGCGGGAGCCTCTCAAGTTAAGGAAGTTTTTGTAAACACACGAATTATAATTACTACTTCTAACGTTGCGTTTATTATACGTTTTGAAGGTATAACGTAATTATGTTGTTACTTATTTTCACTTTAAAAGCTTACTTACTCACCACATATCATAAACAGTGATTTAATTTTTTTATTGTAAGATTATTTTTCTGTGTATTTATTAAACATGATATTCAGGTAATATCTACATACTTAAATGATATTTTTCCTATTATTATGAGAACGATAGTTTAATTCTTAAATGACATCATTTAAATAGCATTTTAAAGATAGAAAAGTCGTAAAACTATTATTATTAGCTTCTGTGCCGATTATAAACAAATATCAAAAAAAATCAGATTCCCAGCAGGAATTTAAGAATGGATCAATATGTAATTTCAGATATTGGTTAAAAAAAATAAATATTGATGAGAATCTGTTACAAAATATTGTTATGTATATATAATATTATCTGCTACTTTCTAATCATTTTTAACTAGGTATGGCTTTAAATAAAAACAATTCAGAAAAATTATGATATTTATTACACAAACAGAACTCGAATCTGCTACCCATTAGCATCCGATTACACCAAATACATCTCCTACACTTTCTATAGAAAATTACAAATTTCCCATGTGTTAAAATTTTCTAAGCATCCACTCTATATTACCTGAACGTTACCGTCCATTTAATATCTCCGTGTGTAACAAAAGTTATTATTTCCGTCTTAGGCTTGTTTTATATAATAGGTGTTATTAGTTTTGGTAGTGTTTAATTGTATTTATAGTTTATTTTCGTAATTATATTATACAGGGTGACTGGTGAATTACTATCAATATTTGAGGACGTGATATTTGACGATCATATATGACAAAATAAAAATTAATATAACATAAATATGAATAAACTTCTAAGTAAAGTTAACCAAAAGTTATGTAATTAATTACGCATCGTATGAACACCCTACAGATTAGGTATACACTGACACTCACACATACGCATGTCGTGACGTGGTGTTGTATCAACACGTCGCCGCACGCGTCCACACTTGAACACTTGGAACGTGTCAACACTTTACTTATTTATACGGAAATTTTGTCAAAAATTAAGTGCCTATTTTTTTTACATAATTCGAATGAGAATCATGTACCGAGTATGCTCCTTAAATATTGATAGTAATTCACCAGTCACCCTGTATAACTACTGTATAATATTATTGTAAGTGTAAGTTAGCTTCAGTTAACGTCGATTAAATATACACAATGCTACCTAAAAACGACTATCTTTATCTCGAAATTCGAGAGATGCTAAAAGGATGAGAAATGCGAGTTCTCAAGAATCGGCAGAGGAAAAAGCACATCGGTTAAACTCTATGAGAGTCAGTGCCTCAACCTCTCGAGCCAATGAGAGCTCTCCAGAAAGAGAGATGCGATTAGCAGCTGACAGAGTTACATCACGGGCGTCTCAAAGCTCTTCTCAACGGGAGCTGAGGCTTATCATTGACCAAGAACAACATGTGTTATCCCGAGATGCTGAAACCGAGTCACAACGAGAATTTGCCTCTCACAGCTGACCGCGAACGGCATACATTATCTTTATATTTTAGTGTATTAAAATGTGTCGATGTATGTATAAAACAGTATAATATACCTACCTAATATAGTATAGATGTGTAGATACATTTTTTTCATTTTTATAAAAGTATGATTTTCTTAAAATTAAAATAAAAGTGACAAATGAAGTAAAAATAACATAGAGAATAAAATTAATTCGCATGCATAAATTGGAAGATAAGTAACGTTTTACAATATTGCGATAGCGTGTTGAAGTTTTCAAATCATTATTTACCAGTCATACAGCAATTGATTTTAATTTTGAGAGGTCTTCTTCCGAGTCGATGATTTGCTGCGCGGCACCCTCTTGTTTACGTACGTATATGAATCCGCGGAAAGTCCAACAAAAGAAAAACTCGTGCGTTTTTGTAAAATCTAAAAAAAGAAAAAAAGTGTTTTATTTTTTCATGTTAATAGCTCCGACACACAGATTGGTCGTTAGGGCCCAGCCATGTTGATGTTCATTGTATTAAATCTCCGACCTGTGTTCACTTTATTATATTTTTTAAAATGAGAAAGATGATTTTCTTTTATTAACACACTTGTAAATCCTACAACTATCGGTTTCTGGGCCTCCGCTTTTGAGTATGAACAATAAATATCCTTGATGTCCGAGGATTGAATATTCAGAGATAGTTTAGAGCTCACGTTTAAAAGAATCTCGATTAAGTCGTGTTTTGTTTTTGTTTCGCAATATTACGTATCTCCACAGACGAACTTAGGGCCTTTTTTTTTCAATATTTTGGATTTATTTTCGAGAGTAGGAATATATGCCAGATGTTCCACTCGCTCAACCTCAAACTTGTACAATTTGTTTTTAAACGGTTTTATTTAGCTCATCCTGTTTTTAATTTGAGTGATGCATTGGGCGAGCAACGACGGGGGAGTAGCTTGTCATATTCGAGTAAAGTACCAGGGCCGCAGTAACGCAAAGATATGGTCAGTGCAAGCGAAGCGGCAGTGGAATTACACCCTTAAAGTATTTCTAATACATCTTGATTTCAATCACTTGAACGATATAATTTATTTATTTATATAAGGACAACTAACAAAAACCATTTAAAAGTTTTAAAAAATAAAGATAATTACATTTTTGCTAAGTGATATTTCAGTTATAAGTTATCACGGCATGGCATAATAAGTTGAAATTAGCAGCAACCACAATAATCACTCTTGTTCACATAACGGTAAGGTCCAAATTTACAGAAATAACACTTATGCACATAAAAACAGTTTACTTGCAGCAGTTTATGTTCTCCTAATTATATTTCACTATTTATTAAGTTATTTTTAATTAATTTTACAAGGAAAAAATAAATCAGTACAAACAAAATACACGTCTATACTCAAACAAGGATCCGAGGAGAGGGGTGAGAGCCGACTCGGGATATTTTATCTTGTGTGTTAGGAACAAGTTGATTTGAAGTATTGAGTGGTGATATTGTTTACCGCACTCCCCTACACATGCATACCTCAGGTGACTAACTTTACCATGAGGAAACTTGCAAGAATTGTACATCTATTACATTAATATACAAATGATTGTACTTATATATGAGTACATAGTTGAAATTATTAAATTTTAAAGTAATATTTTTTGAACGTAGCTTTAAATACAAAAATACTATTCAGCAAGTATTGCTCCAGATAAGTGTTCTCTTAGGTCTGAATGAATAAATTCTTAATTATTTTTATATGATTTCTTAACCAGAACTTAATTTTTATCATAAAAAGGAGCTAAATAATACAATATTATTTATTAAACTTATGTATTAGTAATTAAATTTTCACAGAAAATGTTTTAATGAAACCAAAATCTTTATTATAGAGGTATAATTTTGTTATAATTATTTATTCTGTTCCCTGAGCTTCTCCAACTGTTGTCTGAAACAAAAAATATTTATTAGAACAATATATAAAAATGGTAATTTCATATGAAAGATGCTACATCCTCAAATTATATTTAGTTTGCTTTATTAATAATATAACTTATATGTGATATAAATTTTAATAACTTTGTCACACTTTCTGTAGTCAGTTTAATAAATTACATTTATTCTTTTCTTTTTTGACAATTAAATGAGAAAAAAACTTTCATCATTCCATGTATTCACGGTGCGTGTGCCGGGTCCATCGTTGTAGTGAGAGGAGCTTCAACAGTGACTGTGACTTGTGACCCAGGTGTAGGTTTAAGGGACCCCTATCTAACGCGTTAAACACTCACCTCCACCTTACAAGCTTCTCTCTCTACCTAATTTGAACTAAACTTACTAAAGCTGTCTTCAATGTATGTTCTAAGAATGAATTGTTATAAGTCCTGGACAAGCCCGAGTCTTTCAGAAAGTAATTTTAAATGGTATGTCACCACACTAAATACATTATGATATGAGCCCGTCCTACCTCAACTGCTGACTAAAGTCATCCTGGACCACATCATCCTCCCAGTTATCCTCCCACACGGACACGTCCTCGTCAACAGCATCCTCTGTACCCCAGTCTACAAATATATATTACAATCACTTAAATATTACACATAACACTTGATTACTAAATAAAGAGAGGTAAGATGTATAAAACACTATATATTTTATATGATTTTGATAATTACAAACTAATTAAAAGTCATTGTGTTTTGTATTGCCTGTAATTGATACGGAAAGACGTGATTATTTCGTTCATACATACAAAACAACACATTGAGAGTATAAAGAACGTTAGTAGCAAAAATTAAGATTCTCATGAAAATTCTGCTTACTAAGAGAAATATTCTACCTATACAGCTTCCACATGTATAAATAATAAGCATAAAATATAATTTTATTTTTTTCAAGTAATGTGCCGCGTTTTACAAACAATGACACAGCAGTACTTACGTTCAGCTGGAAACTCTTCAAACTCATCGTCCTCCTCCAGGAGACCGAGATCAACCTTCTGTTTGTCTGACATTTTATATATTATAAATTGTTTTACAAAATCAAGGTTCAGTTATAAAACAACGCTAATATGTTTTTACACACTTATTATATGTCAAGTCACGGATTCTTGAAGTTTCCATCAGAGTTGCCAGTTTACTAAAAGAAAAAATAGTTTGATGATTGCGTTCTTGTTAATATATTTAGTTTTAATTATTAATTAAGTAATAAAAGAAATTATTAAACAATATATAATGCCAGGTTTGAACACGAACGATATGTTCATAGTATATATTGTTTAGTTTTCAGTTCGGATATAAAAATCAATTCCTTCAGAATAATTTTATATAGATAAAAAGACAATACTGCATCTTATGTTATAATGGTTTTTAGTAAATATAAGATTATATTTCAACAATATTTTAATAATAAATCGCTTCATCAATGATATAACATTGATTACAACATTATTTCAAGGTACTTTAATGTTTATAACTTCCAGAAATCGTTTCGAGATAAACATTATCCTTGAAAGAGCAAGTTTTGCTATAATTTCTAGTAGAGTAACCACTTGATACATGCTCAGGAGTCAGGAACATTTAATTTAATATCCTAAGTAATAAGTAATGACTGCTTTTCTGAATTTATAAACATTTATTGTAACAGAAACGAACACGAGCCACTCACTTTTGTGTTTGACAAAATAAAACAAATTTTCCACACAAAATTTATTACGAATACTTATGACTAAAAAATACAAAAACCAGTCGAAGTTAAACTATACTAGTAATATAGGCGATAGAATCACCGGACATTACAAGTAAAATACTTACAAATACACATATCACAATATATCACATAGTAATTGATCAGACTACGACAGGAGATACATCGGTTTAATAAACATTTATACCTACTAATATATATATTTAATATAAAATCTTCATGCTTAAGATTTTTTAATATTTTTTTGTAGAGAAAATATTTTTTTTGTAAATGTTTTTACGGCTCTTGATAGAGTCCTTTTGAGCCTAATCACATATAATGTACATAAATTTTACCAGTTCACTAATTCATAATACAAAATAAAGAAGTAGTGTTTTTTTATTATATAAGTTTTTCTTTAAAATATATTTCTATTTCTATTTGTAGCATGTATATTGACAGCTACTAACTACAGCGTAAATATACTTTATTCTTCCTTAAAATAGAAAACTCGAGTATTTTTTTGTTATTTCCAAAAAAATTTACCCTCGACGCTTCACAAGGTGCGTTATGGCAGCACCAAAGAAAATGTCAAATGACAGAAAACGTTCCGTTCTACGAAATTGTTAAAAACCAATATATTTTATTGTATTGTTTAACTGTACTCGAAAAGTAGATATCTTTGAAGAGTTTTAGGTATCTCGAAGGTTTTGATCGCGTGAATCAAGGTCGGACCGAAGAATCTTCTTAAAAATATCCGGGCTTGAGCCAACAGGCTGATGGGTGTCTTGGCGCGATCTATCAAAGTCTGTTTCTGTTTTGGTTGCAGGATGTTATTTCTTTTTATCATACACAAGTCGAAGGCTTCAGCAGCTTCTAGAAGGAGATAGAAGATGTATTGAGACTCTTCTGTGGTCACGTTCTGGAGGTGGTTCAATATACCGTCCGGGTCTCGGAATTGAGTCTTCATTATGACCTGAAACATAACAATATTGATTTATTAAAGAAAGATGGAGAGTACATTTTCATTCTCGTCACTGAATAAGAGATACTTCTTTAATATCTACGGTTTTCATAGACTGATTAGTCTTAAATATGTTTCTATTTTATGGTCCCTCTGAATATCATAGTTTCAAAACACTAGCTTATTTTATATAAAATTTTATTAATGAAAGAGAGCCTCAGGTTTAAATGAAACTAATATTTTCGCATTACTACGCGTTATTTTATTACTTTAAACTACATTCTCGACGTTTGTGTTACTTTACTGCAACCGTGATCAAGTAAAAGTTGTTACGATAGTAAAATACGTGTAGTAATCCGAATATATTAGTCTCATTTAAATAAATACTTGTCAGTCTTAGATCTGATAAGTCAAAGGTAGTCGCGATTTGCTGTCATTCAATCTCTCAGTCCCCATAACTTAATGGCTAGAGCCTAGCTGTGGTCAAGTTACTACAGCTCGAACATGGTCTGTCTCGTGGAAGTACCACCCTCTCACTGAAGATCGGTGTGAAGTAGTCTTTAATGGATGCGTTTCCGATGAGTGAGAGAGACATTTGCCTTTACCCCTTTTCCCTCCCTTTCCCATCTTTTCCTCTTCCTCTTCCCTAATCAAGGGACAACACATCCACAAATCTATATTGCAAATGTCCATGGGCGTCGGTACTACCTCCAAGTAGACCGTCTGCTTCGTTGGACCGTTTAGCATTAAAAATTCCCTCACCCTCGCTCCATATCTCAGTAACAGCCTCACAGTATCTCCACACGGCTGTAAGTCACCAGCCAGTAGTTCAGCCAGCGCCGGTCTCAGCTGAGCTCCGTCCTCCTCATTGTACACCTTCAGGTTGGGATCCGCACCAGACTCCAGGAGGATCTGAGGAATATATCATTAATACCATTAAGAGAATTATTGTAACCTTCTCCATGTGAGATGATAGACTAGGACTCTGATAGATGATGATGATGATTATGAGAAAACTCATTTAAATGACCGAGCTCGACATTCTTATTTATTTATTTATTTGAGGGTCCCCAACAAAAGATACACAGTATACAATATTAGACTAATTAACACTAAATATTACAGAAATTGGTGCTCTTTCAATTACAGGAGACCACAGCTTGCTAATTAAATATGACTAAGCAAAACAATATGAACTTATATGTAGTTAAAATTAAAAATATTAAAAAAAAAACAAAAATATTAAAAACAATTATATATCTTGAATTTGTTTAAAAATAAGAATACAGTAAGTAATATAGTATTTTTGACATAAAATCTTTCATCCTTACCTTAACTAACTCCTTCCTCTGTGAGATGCCGTCGGAACAGGCGACGTGGAGCGGTGTACCGATCACAGAGCTAGAGGAATTCACTTTAGCTCCTGAAATGTTCATATTCTATGTTATAAGACGTCTGGTTTAATAATAGAACCACCAAATAGTGAAAATCTATGTTCAAATATTTAAATGATATGAATTAAGCGTTATGAGACCATCTGTCGCATGTTACATTACAACGGACGAGAAGTGGGGGTAAATTTAAAGTTTTTCAAATCAACACAGTTATATATTGCTTTGACAAAACCACATATCGGCTGATCTTAATAAATTGTCTATTTTTATCAAAATGTTATAAATAATACGTGTTTCAAACTAGGAATCCAGAATCAAATTATTTTCAACGCTGACAATTCGATACATGTCCACTACCACCGTTTTATCATTAAATAAACCACATTATTCTATTATTAATAGAAGTATTAGTTTATTTATTTCATTCTCATAGAAAGAACCTATGTACTCATGAAATATCTTGTATAAAACCCGTATATATTCTATGTAATCATAATATTCTTACCAGCCGCTATCAACATCTTGACCATGTCCACGTCTCCCTTGAGTATCGCCAGGTCGAGCGGGCTGGGCTTGTTGTAGTCCGGGTCGTAGTTCACCCTCGCTCCTTGCTTTATCAACAGATTCACCACCTCCGTACAGCCTGGGAGATAGAATTTATATGTTTTATACTTAAAACAGGATAGTATATAAATGATATTTTTGAAATTTCTTAAGAAAATGTTCATAAAATTTTATTTCAAGTTGTCAAACGTGCAGATAGCCTATTTGATGGGAAGTAGTCACCGTCACTCAAGGACATCCGCATCAAAGATGTTGGATGCGTTGCCAACCTTAGTTGTTTAGGAAGAGTTAGGGATTGGAATAAAGAAATGATAGAAGAAGGTGGAAATAGGAAAAGAGCAACCGTCTTTCTCACTCATTTGACGAAACGCATCCATTAAAGACTACTTCACGCCTATCTTCAGTGAGAGGGTGGTACTCGTACTTCCCCGGTCGAGACAGACCATGTTCGAGCTGTAGTAACTTGATCTAATAATTCATGCATGTCTGTAACATACGCATGTATTCTACTGACCTCCAAGCACAGCGTAGTGCATGACGGTCCTATAGTCGCTGCGAGCGTCCGTCGCCGCGTTTACATCGGCTCCATAACTGATCAACAACAACACTGACTCTATACCCTGGAAGAATAATACATACATACAGACACGTTAACACTACATGTGCTATCAGAAAGAAACATGCATGGTCCATAATAGAAGGCAAAAACAATGTTCAGAGTTCTTCCCTGAATGAAATTGTTAGCAATCATAATCAGATCTAGGACTTTCGCGAGTTTTATTCATTTAAATGAAACTAATAATTTTCGATTATGCTACGTACGCGACTTTATTTTATTATTATTTAATATTAGTTTCATTTAAATGAACTCGCGAAAGTCTTAGATCTGATTATGTGAACCAGAACGTATTGGGAAAATAAAGTTGTATAGTATATCCATAAAATATTAGTTTTATTTAAATGGTTGCAATCAATCTTCGAAACTCACCTTTCTCTGCCTGGCAGCCTTCATCAGCGGTGTCAGACCAGCTCTGTCTCTGGAGTCAGGGTTGGCTCCGAAGGTCAACAACAGCTCCAAATATTCGGGATCCGACACGAGATTAATCTCAGCTCCGAAGAAGTAGCGCTTGTTAGGGTCAGCTCCGTGTTCAAGGAGAAGACGAGCTACAGCCTGGTGACAAAGATATAGAAACTATAGCTTATAACTTAGAAAAATAATAAAAAATTAAGATAATATTATATATCATCATTATCATCCTATCAGAGCCCACTGCTGAGCTGCCTCTTCTCACATGGAGAAGGTTTGAGCATTAATCACCACGCTCGCTCAAGACGGGTTGGTGATTACAAACTTATAATTGTGAAATTACAAGTCCAGGTTTCCTCATAATGTTTTACTTCATCAGTCAGTGGTGTCTAAATACTTATAAAGTACATATGACTCGGAACAATCACATTGGTACTTGCCAAGTTTCGAACCCGCGCCCTCATGCATGAAAAGCGGTCATTTACCTCTAGGCTACCATGACTATTTAAAGAAAATTCTATAATAAATTGTTCCAATAATTAATGAACTTACATAATGCTTGTTCCTTATAGCCAGCCTCAGTGGTTCATCACACAAGGTGGTCCTCGGGAACTCTTCTCCTGTGTCTGGTCTATAGTCCACAGCAGCTCCTGACTCCAGCAATAGTTTCACTAATTCTGTATACCTGAAGAGATATTACTTTAATGTGATATAATTCCATGTTAACTTTAAGTATAGTGTGTTTGAATTAAGCTAGCTGAACATTTGTGTGAGAGTACAAGGATAGTGTAGGTGTGATGTCAAATTTTTGAATGCCACGTTCTTTTCTAGTTTTGAACCGGTTTATTCTGCTTTTACTCATCCCGCACTTTTAACACTTCACCCTTTGTACCGGTAGCAAAATCAAATGTTGATATACAATGTCAAGTGAAGAAGAATTTGTATAGTTTTTACAAGTTTATTTTATTTTTATCTAGACTAGTTCTCGCACTTATGTATCTATTTAAGATATAATAAAATTTAATTCCAAATGTTTTTTGTCTAATTATACTTTTACTTTCACTCACACAAATGCAAAGCTCAGCTTAAGTCTCACGAACTTTAACGTATAAGTTGTTACCCATGTTCAGCAGAAAGATGTAACGCGCTGTACCCACAGTCATCAGTAGCGTTAATGTCACATCCTCGCACCAGCAGCAGGCGAGTTGCCTCCAGGTTTCGTTGCCAAATAGCGTAGTGAAGAGGCCGGAGACCCTGGGTCACTGGCTCGTTCACCTACACATATTAAACACATTTTATTGAAGTGACACTTCTTATGCAACTTGCAAGGTTGCGTTAAACGTTTAACGCTTATGGGGAGGGATAAAAAGAGGGAATGCGTGACGCTCGAACGCATGCGGGGCGATCAATTGTGACTTGTAAGTAATGTTAATAAATTCTGTCTTAAATAAACAATTAACATTCCTCAATAATCTATTTCTACCACCATTTTTCATTTCAACATTATAAAGTTTCATTTCTTCTGCAGGAAATTAATTATTTTAGTAAAATATTGTAGAATTATTCAACGTTTGAAAAATGCTTATAAATAATGAAGGTTTGAGCATGAAACCCGACTTTAATAAAATACAAATAAATTATAATTGAGGGTATTTTTAAATCCATCTTCTAATATACAACCTTCGCTCCACAGGCCAGTAGGATCCTTATTTCATCAAGAGGCACCATCCTTATGATGGAGTCAGCCAGCTCGCGCTGGAGAGACTTGTCAGTGATCACCTCCGACGGCATGGCGCCTGGAAACATTACAACAAGAACATTTATAAGAATAATCTAATATTAGATTGTTAACAAGCAATAAGTTGTCTTTAAATAAAACGAGGTTATAAAGGAAAATACCCAGAAACACGAACTTATTATTCAGGATCAATAAAACTTAGTCGACTTAATGTATTTTACAGTGTGATTACAATATCGGCGATGCGTTTCATTTAATCCGTCGTGATATACACGCTGTCTGAAAGTCTGGCAAATATCAGCACTACGATGTTAAAACATGTGACAGCATCACATGCTTACCTTTATCACTCAACCGAACGATTTATTGTATCTAATAAAAATGTACCTGCGCATATGAAATGTACCACGCGCTCGTATTTCTACCATTTACGTCATGTTAGCGGTACAAGGATTAGTTCATAGTAAAAAACAAAGATGGCGCTAATCCAAATACGTGACTAATGTTTATATATTACTTACAAAGAATATCGACGAGTGATGACAGATTGGTTATTTTAATAGATGGTTACATAAATAATTAATAAATACAATCAATATAATAAAAGTGTATATATTATTTTCTTTAATGTTTATATAGTGTACCCTATTGGAATTCGTGTTATTGTACCTTGGTACGTAGTATGAATAACAAAACAAGTCGCTCACACTTCATAGAAAGTCGACTAAAACAGACCGCGACCTGTCCTGGCTCGCGGCCAGAGAATACACGGAGAATATATTCCGTATCAACTTTAAAAATGTTTTACCTTGAAATTAAACGAGTTACAAGACGACCACGTGCTTTTGTTTACAAACACGTCTCAACAATCCTTAATATTAAACGCATTTGACCCGATTTAGACAACAATAAAATTATTTCTTATACAAACAACTATTTAATTCAATTCATCATATTTAATACAAGATAAAAAAGTCTTAAATCATATGTTGAACATTTCTATTTCCTTATACGTGAATGACATTTTTGAGTTCCTAAAATCGGATCATATCGTTCGTTCTCGTGTCTGAATTTTATTTTAAAGTTGAAAATCATTCACTTATTTATAATAAAAAATGTATATCAATGGAGAGTCAAGAAGTCTTAATAATAATATTTGTTGCTATATCTATAAAAATATGTATCCCTTAAATACTAGTAGCGCCATCTCTGATGCTAAATGTGTAACAATTGTTATGAACCTACCTCCACCTAGAATCTCTACTAATATTATAAATACGAAAGTAATTCTGTCTGTCTGTCTGTCTGTTACACTTTCACGTCTAGACCACTGAACTGATTTTAATGAAATTTGTTACAGAGATAGAGTTGACCTTGAGAAAGGACAAAGGATAGTTTTTATCCCAGACTTTTTGAAAGGTTCTCTTGGAAACGCGATATAACCGAACTCCAAGCGGGCGAAGCTGCGGGCGGGAAGCTAGTAATAAATTAATCTGTTCATGATATTCACTTGTTTCATATTAATATTTTATTTCCCGAGTCGGTCACAAAACTTTCCAACATCCTCTCAGTTACATCAGCTGGCCTCCACACACGCTCTCTCAGCCAAGTTTACGTTGAATTGATTGACTTATTGAGTATATTACTACTACAACTAGACTAGTTACATCATGAAGTAGAATAACATGAACACGTTGATTACAAGATGATGTACGAAATGAAATATTCGCATTAAAAGAGACGACACGAATCTTCTTATCATTCTAGATATTCGCGGTGCGTGTGTCGGGTCCATCGTTGTAGTGAGAGGAGCTTCAACAGTGACTGGGACTTGTGACCCAGGTGTAGGTTTAAGGGACCCCTATATAACGTGTTAAACACTCACCTCCAATGTACAAGCTCCTCTCTCTACGTATATGTAATTAGTTAATTGAAAAAGTAATTGTATCTGATGAAGCGGTTGTAATATCAATAATAATAATGATAATATAACAGAAATGAATACGATCTCACAACATAAAGATGGTACCTGAGCTTACTAACACCTGGAACTTGAAATGGTGACTTTAATATGCTATAATCACATTAGATTACTCTTATTTATCAGATACAAAGCGGTAAATCGTGGAAAAGATCCCACACACTATACATAGGATTTATGAAAAAGGACTTAACTATTTAATTTTATTAAAAATAACAATTAGGTATATATATAAATAATTCGTGTCAATTCAATAACAAGTTATTATTAGTGAATATATGTATTTCGTGTAAGATAGCGGGAAGGAAACAGAATGGCGTACAAATACTAAAATAAAGATCCGGCCATTGACCTCTACCTTGACATACTGACTATACAAATAAACAGATAGACAAACTGGTTAAATACTTTGAAATATATACATATTATTATATGTCTTCTTCTACCTGGCAATTTCCCAGCTATAGCCAGGATCTGCCTTACATATTGTGAAAAGTTTTTGGCTATTTGTTTTTACGACCGGCCGCCTGCCTGACATCAACCCTCTTTTTGGGAATCAACATTAATGAGTGATGTCTAAATACTCTTAGAAAGTACATATTATTCGGAAAAATCACATTGGTACTTCCCCGAGCCAGGATCGAACCCGCGCCCTCGGCGACGAGAGGCGAGCCCTTTAACCACTGAGCCACCACTGACTATAGCCATAATTATAATGTACATATAATAATATGTACTACGAAATTATGATGTAATACCTAAAACACTTAATGTCCCGCCAAATCATATTTTTAGTCTGTTACTATTGAAGCAATAAATAAAATTAAATAAATTGATTACTTTTATAATATTTACGAAAAGTTGAATAATTAATAGTTGTTAAGAAAACTGTATTTCTCGAAATAGTTTTTATATGAAGGAGTTAGAATATTACCATTGCTTTATCCCTACTAATATTATAAATGCGAAAGTAACTCTGTCTGTCTGATACGCTTTCACGACTACACCACTGAAGTGATTTTAATTAAATTTGTTACAGAGATAGAGTTGACCTTGAGAAAGAACATAGGATAGTTTTTATCCCAGACTTCTGAAAGGTTCTCTTGGAAACGCGATATAACCGAACTCCACGCGGGCGAAGCTGAGGGCGGAAAGCTAGTTTTATTATATATGAAACTGTTTAATTATTTTTTTTCTCCTCGTAGTGTTTTAAGTATTTGCCAACAAATTATGTGTCGTCGACCTATTTACGACAAGGTTAACAGAAACTATGACAACACCAGTTTAAATTATATTATAAAAATAAATAAAATAGTCACAAAAAAATACTATATCTTCCTGAATTAGGTTATTTTAATTGTCTAAAACAGACTTCAAAAATATATACGTATAAAAATATATGCCTGTAATTTCGTTATATTTTAAATTATCTATATAGAATAGAGAAATAACTGTTTGTTTTATTATAAATCATTTTAAATGCTTAAATCGAGCCAAAGCAGTGTTTATATCCTGGATCGATTTATTCTACGGACCTACCTCTTTGTTTACTTGTATTCATCAAAACTTTGGAGATGATATTTATAATTTAATTTAATGTACTTTAAAATATATTTATTATAAATAATCATTAAAATGAATTAATGTATGTGTGTTATAAATAATACGAGAGGAAATCGTTTATGAACCACAAAATTATAGATATTTCTAATTTTACATATAAATCTATACAAAACACATATTAATTTAATGTTTTGTTAGTCATTATGAATAGCCTCGTGTATTAATATTTGTTACTTAAAAGTAGACAAAAGCATTAAACTTACCAATTCTTATAAGTCCAAAAGATCACACAAACGTTAAGCTTCGATAATCTTATGTACAAATACTGTTTTTATACTTCTTCAATATAATTAAATATTTCTTTATGTCGTATATTAAATAAGTTTTAAATGATACGATCTGTGTAATGGTTGGCGGAGAACTGTTGTGTGTTTAGACTGAACTGGAGAAAAGCCAATCTGGAGGAGCGCCAAGTACGACATACGGGAGACGAGAGGTAAATGTGACTATAGGGGAATGTAGGAAGAAAAAGGAGAGAGAGAGATATATAAATAGAAAGAGAGAGAAATATAAACATCACTGGGATATTTGAAAGACCAAAATTGAGCATCTAAACTTGAGTAATCATGACTTGGATTTCATAAATGTATATAGGAATATAGTAAGTAAAAAAAAGAGAGGGAAAAATGAAAATTACTGGTGTGTTTGAGACACAATAAATTTAAAGTTTGAACTTGAGTTAAATAACGTTAGTATTACAAGCGGCGCAATCTGTGTACTAATTATAATATACTATAATCCTTACAATTATTATGATGAGTGATTATAATGAATGATGATACTGAACCATTGTAATGTATCAACATGAGTATCATTGCATTTGTAAACTATATGTCTTCAGACATTTTATAACACATTACTTTAAGTAATGCTGAACATTTAGAATGAACTTTGAAATTGTACCTCGAAAATTTACTCAGAATTATACAAACATAGTTTAGAAAAAAACAATTAAGCTATAAAAAAATAACTATAGTTTCATGACAAAGTTATATCATTAACTAAAATGATTTAACTAGTATACATTACATTGAAATAACTTTCGTTTCGTTTCCAGAAGATTGCCTTATGATGAAGAAGCTCCTCACCTCACGGGTCTTCCCAGGATGGTTGAGGATCCGACCTTGGGGATCAGACCTTTTACGCGAACCAACACGACATATAGAATACTATCCCGGTGGCTCATGTCCCTTTATCTGATAATCTTTCTCCTGTAAACTCAATGTTTCATTTAATTTAAATTAATCCCTACTAATATTATAAATGCGAAAGTAACTCTGTCTGACTGTTACGCTTTCACGCCTAAACCACTGAACTGATTTTAATGAAATTTGGTACTGAGATAAGTTGACCTTGAGAAAGAACATAGGATAGTTTTTATGCCAGACTATTGAAAGGTTCTCTTGGAAACGCGATATAACCGAACTCCACGCGGGCGAAGCTGAGGGCGGAAAGCTAGTTAAATATATTTAGCATAGTCCTGTTACACGCACACTCACCTCACAAGACGCACGCGGGAACAACGCACTTATAAACGATTGCCTTCGAAGAGAAAGATCTCATCATCATCACAGGTATTAGTAAACAAAGGAACTTCCTCCAGCTGGGCAGGTGGTCCAGGAGTGTTCCAGAAGTATTCCAGGAATATTCCAGGAGTGTTCCAGAATTTACATTAATGTTATACATATAATTGTTCCATTACTTATATATTTAAATCTTTTTAACTACAGATTAACGACATCAGTTTGTCTTTCTACAAAACGGACAGATCCGTCACATCGTTTCTTTCAAACGAATGGACCGATTTTGATGAGGTTTTTCTATCAGAAAATTAATCTTTTTTTTTAATATCGGTTCAGTAGTAGAAGTTTATCTATTCTTCATAGTATTTTAGTTTATAAATATCCCATTATTTGCCTCACGAGACACGTGTTTTTATAATCGTTTAATTATGAACGTATTGATATTTTTAATTGTTGCAATTTTGTTTCACTTATAACTATATAATTTAATTATAGTAATTATTTAAATATTTTGTGAGGTGGTAGAGCCTAGCTGTAGTCAATTTACTACAGCTCGAACATGGGCTGGCTCGACCGGGGAAGTACCACCCTCTCACAGAAAATCGGCGTAAAGTAGTCTTTAAAGGCTGCGTCTCGTCCGGTGAGTGAGAGAGCCGGTTGCTCTTTCCCTTTTCCCAACCTTTCCTTTCCCTCCCTTTCCCACCTTTTCCTTTTCCCCAATCAAGGGCGGCAACACATTCGCAAATCTACGTTGCGGATGTCCATGGGCGACGGTAACTACCTACCATCAAGTAGGCCGTCTGCTCTGTTGCCCCCTTTTCCCATTAAAAAAAAAAAAAAAAAAAACTTTGTTTTAATAGTTTTTTCTTAAATATATTATAAATCTTGTGTAATTTTGTTTCTTTACTAGTATGTACTTATTATAGAATTTCAATATTTTTACGACCATCTTCTAATATCTGATAATAATCTGATATAATGACGTATTTATAAAATATTTATTTTTGTTATTCCCAATAGATAATTTGAAAATATTTTTATATTGTCTTTTATCATTTAAATATAGTTTTCTTTTGTATCTACATCCACCATTAAATATATTTTTATTTAATCAAATAATCGTATACTTTGAACGTAAGATCATATGATATTTTTTACTCCTCACGACATATCGTGGGTGTACCACTCGTCCCGACATGTCGCGTGTATTAAAGGGGATGTAAATTCCGTTTAGCGGTTTGAATTAGCTCATGACGGCTTTATTATAGGCTGAGGACACACTGGTCGCTACATTATAAGAAATATAAATAAATAAAAAATAACTCTTAAAAATGATATAAAATTACTAAGAAACGGGCAAGACTGAATTGAATACTTAATTTATTTTCTGTTTAATAAAATATCTTATACAATTACCTATAATGAAAAAATACATAGCGATAATAAGAATAAATTTATATAAAATCCGTCGTTGTAATTTCCCGGTGGTTAAAGGACCGACTCTCATGCATGAGGACGCGGGTTCGAAACCTGACAAGTACCAATGTGATTTTTCCCAGTCATATGTACTTTATAAGAGTATTTAGACATCACTGACTTATGAAGGAAAACATCATGAGGAAACATGGACTAATATCAAATAATAAGTTTGAAATCACCAACCCGTCTTGAGCAAGCGTGGTGATTAATGCTCAAACCTTCTCCATGTGAGAAGAGGCCTTGCTCAGCAGTGGGCTCTGATAGACTGATGTTTAATATAATAATATATATATATATATTATACATGTTGTATCTCCCGGTGCGCCCCGGACCTGTTTCATCCCTCAGCTATCAATTCCGTCAGTTAAGGTCCAGGAGTCGCACTGACAACAAGCAAACAAGGGTGAGTGTAGTATAACAAAATAAACTTAAAAAACATACTTTAATTTATAAATAACTAGCTGCGCCCCGCGGTGTTACCCGTGGATTTCCAAGATTTCCGGGATGTAAAGTAGCCTATGTGTTATTCCTGGATGTCAGCTTCCTGTATACAAAATTTTATCAAAATCGGTTCAGCCGTTTGAGCGTGAAGAAGTAACAAACATACACACACACTCACAAACTTTCGCAATTATAATATTAGTAGGATAAATTACTTCATAAATATCAATTTTTTTCGCGAAAAACCACAAAAAATTTATACTTTACATTCTGTAACTTCATTATATAGGGAATTATTGATGTTGATTTTTGAACAATTTTTATAATTTTATTATTTGATTGATAGCAATAATATTTAATTTATATTTCTGGAAAATACGATTTATTATAAAAATATATTAGTCTAAGAGTTTACAAAATAATTTAATCAGAAAAAATATTTTCATATGTTTTATATAAATATCGTAAAAGCGTTATAACAATACGTCACTTACAGACGGACAAGACAATTATATATACATAAATATTTAGTGTAATATATATATTTACTCCTTAAGACACACTCGGGGATCCTCAACTTGAACAGTCATCTCGTGGGGTGAAGCTCATTGAGGTTTCATCAGAATTAATTCGAGTCTATAATATTAAACTCGGCCCACTTTTAGAATATAAATCACTTAAAAAACCATCATTTTCCCATTAAAAGAGTATATATTATATAATATATTAAATACTTAATAAATATATGAAATAAAATCTCAATATTAATTAAATATTTCATTATCATCTTCTTCCTCGCAATTTCCCAGCTTCAGCCAGGGTCTGCCTTACGTGTTGTGAATAGTTTTGGCCTAATTATTCTTACGACCGGCCGCCTGCCTGACATCAACCCTCTTCGGGAATGCATTAATCAGTGATGTCTAAATACTCCTATAAAGTACATATGACTCGGAAAAATCACATTGGTACTTGTCAGGATCGAACCGACGCCCTCGTGCATGAGAGGTAGGCCTTTTAACCACTAGGCCACGACTGCCTTATAATATTTCACTATATATTTCAATATCATCAAACACTAGTCACGTCTCCTTATTTCTCTTACAGACATAACTCTCCAAGTAGTTTATTTTTTAAATATCAACATTATTTAGTTTAATGGATAACTATTCAATCAGTTTGTATAACAAGTGACGTGATCTGTTCATTGTTGAAATCTTCGCTGATAGTTTTATAATACGTACTTAATTTCTAATAGAAGACTAAATATAAATTAGGTTTAAATTAATGCAAAGTTAAAACAAAGATTTGTTGAGAATCTTCTCATCATTCAATGTATTCGCGGTGCGTGTGTCGGGTCCATCGTTGTAGTGAGAGGAGCTTCAACAGTGACTGTGACTTGTGACCCAGGTGTAGGTTTAAGGGGCCCTATCTAACGCGTTAAACGCTCACCTACACCGTACAAGCTCCTTTCTCTACCAAATTTGAAGTACATTCTAACTTCTAAATATGTATTAATGTTAGTTCTGGACAGGCCCAAGTCTTTAAGTAAGTTATAGAGAGATTTCGCTGTCATACCTCTCGCTCCCACTTCTACCGCGTACAAATCCACGACGAACCTATTTCGAGTGAGTTTGTTAGTGAGCTCCTAATATTAATTGACCTTGATGGTATAGTCTTTAGGGCTGTTAGTTTTCCAAGGAATCATAGGTATACTAAAAACTTAAAGTTGATAGTTAATTTCAATAACGATAGGAACATATGTATTTTAATTTATTTACTAACGAATCGACCCGGCTTCACACGGGTATAAAATTTAAATCATACACTTTCAAGGGCCATATATATAGATATATTAAATGAACAATGTTTTAAAGATATTTAATTGGATAAGGATTAATGCTATGTTGGTTAAAATCGCTTAGAAAATTAGTCATAATATGTAGTGGGATATCCATAAGGTATACATATATCATCGTTGAGTTTTCTGTAGACCATTTGAATGTGTACAATAATAATAAATACATTATTTTGATCTCGTAAGGTTTAGACTGCGCTTTATGTAAGCGAGAAAATTGTAATTAATTAAAACTAATATTATTCTATTACTACGCGATTTTTATTTCTAACTATAAACTATATACTCCCGACGTTTCAGTTACTTTACAATTTACATCAACCGTGATCATGAAGACGCAATGTAAATGACAGAGAGTTGGTTCTGTTACAACAAGATTATATCGTAAAAATACTCATAGTAATCCGAATAATATTAGATTCATTTAAATGAATACTTGTGAAAATCTTAGATTTCATTAAAATAATTACTATTTACGACATCACATTATAAATGTCGAAAATTAAAGTATTCCACCACTATTTAATGTATATTATTATACATTATATGTATTATACTTATCAATGGTGGCCTATTGCTTAAAAGGCCCGCCTCTCATGCATGAGGGCGTGGGGTCGTTCCTGGCCCGGGCAAGTACCAATGTGATTTTTCTGAGTCATATGTACTTTCTAAGAGTATTTAGACATCACTGATTAATGCATTCCCAAAGAGGGTTGATGTCAGGCAGGCGGCCGGTCGGAAAAACAATTAGCCAAAACTATTAACAACATTTTAGGCAGACCCTGGCTAAAGCTGGGAAATTGCCAGGTAGAAGATAAACCTTCCTCTTTATAATTTTAAGTAAAAAAAAAGCCGAATCAAAGTCCGTTGTGTACTTTTAAATATTTAAACATACATACAGAGACAGAGAATGCCACTTTGTTTTATACTATGTAGTGATACTTAAATGTAAAATGTATATACAGGGTGACTGGTGAATTACTATCGATATTTGAGGACGTGATATTTGACGATCATATGTATATGTATATACAGGTACTAGCTGACCCGGCAAACGTTGTTTTGCCATATAAAAATAGGTATTGGTCATAAAAAAATAAAAGTATGTATTTTTTAATACCGTAGTATAAAAAAATAAAAAGAAAAATTTCGTCCAAAACATGAACAAACCTTATCACGTAAGGGTATGAAAAATAGACAGTAGTCAATTCCAGACCTACTAAAATTTGGTTAAAATCGGTAAAGCAGTTTAATATTATGGTAATTAACATTGTGATATGGAAATTTTATAAACAGGGTGACTGGTGAATTACTATCAATATTTAAGGAGAATACTCGGTACATGATTCTCATTCGAATTATGTAAAAAAAATAGGTACTTAATTTTTGACAAAATTTCCGTATAAATAAATAAAGTGTTGACACGTTCCAAGTGTTCCAAGTGTGGACGCGTGCGGCGGCGTGCTGATACAACACCACGCCGCGCGCGCGAGTGTGTGTGTGTGTGTATACCTAATCTGTAGGGTGTTCACACGATGCGTAATTAATTACATAACTTTTGGTTAACTTTACTCAGAAGTTTATTAATATTTATGTTATATTAATTATTATTTTGTCATATATGATCGTCAAATATCACGTCCTCAAGTATCGATAGTAAGTCACCAGTCACCCTGTATATGTATATATATAGATGGTTTTCAAACGGCCTGAGTCTCTGCCCCTGGGGTCTACGTGGCGCCGGTTCAGCGTGTGTAACACTAACCTGGTGATCAGGGACCTCACTGAGGACCTGCGGGAACCTGCTGTACAACTACTGGTCAAGTACTTCACGGCTCACGAACCGCCTTGCAAATATATCGGTGAGATTTACATCTTGTGATACGATTGTTAAACTCAAATAACTTTATTCAATATAGAAGCATTACACTTTCTTATTGATGGTCACTTGAGACACTACCACCGGTTCGGAAAACAAAATACCCTGACCTGAGAAGAACTGGCAAAGAAACTCAACGGTTTTTTTTTAAATATATATATATTTGTCTCATATATTATATAAACAATTTAATATGACAGAAGTTTTAATAGTTAGACAATGTTATAGGAAAAGAATGATACATTTAAACTTATTTTGAAGTAAAACTTCTTTAGGCAAGGTAAACTGGTGAAAGCGTTACGAAAAGTGTGATCGGGAGAGCGAACGTTAGTGAGAGAGATATAAGTTAGTGGAGAGAGAGAGAGAGAGAATGTTATTTTGGTGTGGAAGAATTACTTCATTAACATAAATGATAAAACTCGTTTTTTTTTAGAGATCAACAAACATCCAACAGCGTTGGCGGAATTGGAGAAGTTGTGGAGAAGAACTATAGACGACCAGCTGTCTATAGTGTGTGTGAAGGAAGATGACCCCAGTGACGTCATAGGGGTCAACGTCCTCACGGTCGCTGACAAAAATGACAAGGAGGAGGAGTTTAAAGTGAGATGACACACGTGAACAACTATAGAATAGAATAACACGTATACAGGGTGACTGGTGAATTACTATCAATATTTAAGGAGAATACTCGGTACATGATTCTCATTCGAATTATGTAAAAAAAATAGGTACTTAATTTACCTGGCAATTTCCCAGCCTTAGCCAGAGTCTGCCTTACATGTTGTGAATAGTTTTGGCTATTTGTTTTTTACGACCGGCCGCTTGCCTGACATCAACCCTCTTTGGGAATGCATTAATCAGTGATGTCTCAATACTCTTATAAAGTACATATTATGACTCAGAAAATTGACATTGGTACTTGCCCGGGCCAGGATCGAACCCGCGCCCTCGTGCATGAGTGGCGTGCCTTTTAACCACTAGGCTACCACTGACTAATCCCATAATATTAGTTTCATTTAAATGAATCCTCGTAAGTCTTAGGTCTCATTATAACCCATAGTAATACGAAAATATTAGCTCTTTCATACAACATAATATTAAAAGCTTCCTATCAATATGTACTTCTTTATCTCGTAATAATTCTTCTCCCTTCTTCACCCCAGTCGGAAGACAAGATCTGGTCCAAACTGTTCGGGGCCGTAGACCTGGTGACGAGGGCCGTAGATGTGTTCCAGACCTTCAAGGTGGACCAGTACCTGACGGCGTACGGCCTGGTGGTGGACCCCACGTGGAGAGGATGGGGCATCGGCAAGGAGATGCTGCTGGCTAGGTGCGGGTTAATCTTCTTTATATATATAATTCTTCTGTGAGTGTGTATGTCACTGAACTCCTCTCAAACGACGTAACCGATTTTGATGAAATATTTTGTGAGTATTCAAGGGGATATCGGAATGGTTTAGATTCACAATTTTGTCCGGTGAACAATGTTTTTTTTTTGATTAATTTTTAATTTATTAGTAGTTGTTGATACAAACGTTTTTTTTTTGACATTAGATTTGACAACTAACTAATATGTCAATCATTCTGTCGCACTTCAGAACACGGAGATATATGTCTTTAATAAGTAAATTCCAAAAATATAAATAAAAAAACGTAACAGATATTTATAAGGGTGGGATCATATCTTATAGTCTATGCAAGAACGAATCTGTTCATATCTTCTCAAAAAATATTTAGTTAAATTGAAGCTAGTAATACTTTGTTATAATCTATATATGTACATAGGTGTACAACTTTGCTTCCGCCGTTTTGCAATAGATGGTTGTAGCGGTAAGTGGTAGTCGAAATAAATAGATCGTTGATGTCATACAACAAGCTTAGGCATTTGTAAATATAACGCCATCGAAATATTAGTCGATTTGTGTCTGCATCATAAAGTTATTCTCGATTAAACATGTCAGCTTACGAGCCAAATTCTCGTCATTTGCGGGAGGTTTTAATTTTCTGCTTTAATATGAAGAAATCTGCGGCTGAGGCTCATCGAATGCTCTCAAATACCTATGGTGAGGCTGCTATTAGTGAAAGAACGTGCCGAGAGTGGTTTCAACGCTTCAAGAACGGTGATTTTGACGTCGAAGTCCGGCATGGCGGTGGAAGAGAGAAGGTTTTCGAAGATGCAGAATTGGTGGCATTACTTGATCAAGACTCGTGTCAAACGCAACAATAATTGGCAAGATCATTGGGAGTGATGTAACAAGCCATTTCAAAATGCCTGAAAGTCATGGGAATGATTCAGAAACAAGGAAATTGGGTGCCGTACGAGTTGCAGCCGAGAGATGTTGAACGGCGTTTGTTTGCTTGTGAATAGCTGCTTGCAAGGCAAAGACGGAAAGGATTTCTGCATCGCATTGTGACTGGGGACGAAAAATGGGTTCATTACGATAATCCCAAGCGCAGAAAATTATGGGAATATCCCGGCCATGCTTCCACGTCGACGGCCAAACCGAATATTCACGATTCCAAGGTATGCTCTGTATTTGGTGGGACCAGATCGGCGTAGTGCATTATGAGTTGTTAAAACCGACTGAAACAATCACAGGCGATAGTTATCGAATACAATTCATGCCTTTGAACCGAGCATTGAAAGACAAACGGCCGCAATATAACGAGATACATGATAAAGTGATTTTACAGCACGACAATGCTCGACCCCGTGTTGCGAAAGTGGTCAAGACATACTTGGAAACGTTGAAATGGGAAGTTCTACCCCACCCGCCGTATTCTCCAGACGTTGCTCCCTCGGACTATCACTTGTTTCGATCAATGGCACACGGCCTGGCTGACCAGCACTTCCGGTATTATGAAGAAGTTAAAAATTGGATCTATTTGTGGATCGCTTCAAAAGATGACCAGTTTTTTCAACGCGGGATTCGTATGCTGCCCGAAAGATGGGAGAAAGTAGTGGCTAGCGATGGACAATACTTTGAATCATAAATGTATAACCAGTTTCTTACAATAAAGCCTCGAATTTCGGAAAAAAACGGCGGAAGCAAAGTTGTACACCTAATAAAAGAAAGTCGTGTTAGTTACAATATCTATAACTTAAGAACGGTTGTAGGGATATGGTAGAAAATTTGTGGAGAGATAGATTAGAACATAGAAAGGACATAGAATACTTTTCATCCGATTGAAAAAAATTATAATTTGATCAAAACCAAAATCTTCTTTAATCTACTGTCTTTAAGAAGGAATTGTGGTCGCCCGGTCAGCTATACATTTCTAATTCTGAAACTAACGCAGACGAAGTCATATAAATATTTATTACGCTATCTCTGTTTCTGTTAAGAACCGTTCAAAATTATTTTTATAATTAAAAATATAATATTCCAGAAATAATTATATTCACAAAGCCAGGAATCAGGATCTGATTACAAGATCTTCGAGAAATAGAACTAAACTTAGTAATAACTATAAGGCCTCGGCCTCGAATTTTGCGGGCAGCGGAGCGGCAGCGGGAGCGGCAGGATCTTACGCGTATAATGAAATGGACCGACCCTCGAATACAGCGGTGCCCGCTGCCCGCTATTTTGGAGAAATGTATGCGTTTCCGTGCCGCCGCCGCTGCCGCTCCGCTGCCCGCAAAATTCGAGGCCGAGGCCTTACGAGAATCTCAAACATGATTTATTATACGAGCAAACCCGCGAGCAACAGCTAGTTCTAATATAAAGACAGAAAAAATCATTAAGATCTAACACTTTCGCAACAATTTTTATATTATTGTAAAGAAACTCGTAATTTACCAAACAAACAAGTAAATGAAACACACATGGCAACACAGATATCAAAAATGTCAGTTAATTTTTTAATTTTCAAGTAACGCTAAAAAAATAAATTTACTAACCCAATATGATAGTTTCCTAAGTTTAATTACCTGTAACTAATATAATATTTAAAACTTATATATTACAAAAATCTTAAAATGTAGTAAATAATATTAATAAAACATAATAAAAATTCTAAACATGTTGGAGCATTCATTCAATAAATTCAATATCTGCCAATGGTTCAGTAATGAGACATTTCTTCGAGATATTTCTCGTTCTACAATGGCAGGATGAAATTCCATTATCCATTACATCATATAAATTCCAGGACGGGAATTCCGACTCCAGAATATTCTACCGCAGGGAAGGTGATTACCATTGATTACTTTTATATAAAAGAGTGTAATATGTGGAATATTATGGAATTGGAATTACGATATTTTAGTTTCATATAAATATTCTTTGTTTTGTATAATAATTATTTTTTCAGTGCATTTTAATCTTAAGTCTCGTTGGTAACGTTACAATGTCACTGTCGATTGTCAAATCTTTCAAAATTTAATCAAACGATAAAAATGAAACTAAAATTGTGAACGTTTATAATAAACCAGATAAAAAAATGAAAAAACCTGAGCGGAAAAGAAAATGCATCTGCGATACTGTGGCCGTTTTGAAAAAGATTACAGGAAACCCGGAACCTTTGAGTTCGACGGAAATTAACAGTATACGACTGAATCTGTTTACGGAACGTAACTCAGACGGAACCGGGTACCTCGTGCTGAGAGGAAGAGATATTTATGAGAAATATAACAGAAGAATATGTGACGACGACGTGCGAGCTATATGTGTGTACTTGAAACATTCACCCAGAAGAATTACGAAAGTTGATCTGAGTTACAACTCAATAACTGATACGGGATTTTTTAAACTATTAAAAAACGTTCTAATAAAAGGCAGATCAAGTGTTAACAACCTAAATATTATGAATAACAATATCACGGAACTATCTATATTAAACCTGTCCAAGTATGCGAAGTTTTTGAAACTTAAATATCTAAGAATTAATGGAAACGATTTCGGTACTAAAGGTGGCGAATATTTTGCCGAACTCCTGTTGAATAACACGAGTATTGAATGTTGTGACATCGGGGAGACGGGACAGACGTTGACCAGTGTTGCCCGCATCATCACCGCGCTGCGCTACGATCACGCTGGCAACACTACGGTACGAGTTTTCGATTTCAGCCGAATTATCCCTTTATTCAATAGATATTCGTACGAAACGAAGTGGCTCGCTTATCATATTGAATATTTATTAGAAAGAAACGAAACCATCGTGGAATTGCACTTACAGAAGAACGAACTAATTGGACACGACGTGGAATACTTAGTTAGAGGTCTACGGAACAACAAGACGCTGTTATACTTGGATCTAGGATATAATAAAATAGGAGAATATGGCGCTGAATTATTTGGACAATATCTATCTGAGAAGCCGCAGCTAATATTATTGAATTTGGCGGGAAACGGAATCAAGGACACTGGCGCTAGAGCTCTCAGCTTCGGTCTGCCATATTCAAGAATACGTGCTTTAGATCTGGGACACAATAAAATCACTGACGACGGCATTTTATACATACTGAATACTCTCAAAAAACCGTTTTATCTTAGATTTTTAAACTTATGGGGTAATAAAATCGGTGAAACGACGTGCGGCGTCATTGAAAGGATGTTAATAAGTGGTGCTCTCTTCCAACACACGATAGATGTCAGGTTATACTCAGTGGACGGCGTCCTACACGCAGCCTACTACCCCAACCCGGCGAACAGAAATAAACACTTATATTACAACGAAATGGACTTTGGATGCGAACAACCGATATATCACATACAGAGGAATGTGTTGCCAGAGAAGAAAAATGTTAAGGTCGACTGCAAACAGAGGCACAAGCTCGATAAAACAGATAAACATCGTTTTTGAACGAATTTTTTTGTTACTGAACGAAGAACAGTCTAAAATATTTATATTTTTTTTTATTAATTTTTAATTTTAAATGTATTGTATTTTAATTGTTTAGATATTAATTTTACTTTATATTTTTTTAACCTCATTTTATTTTATTTAGATATATTTGCTTTGTTTGTGACGTGTTGTTAATATATTTACTTTTATAATTTATTTAGTTGTTTTATTATGTATAAATATTAATAATATACCTAAAAATGTTTGTCAGCCTTTGTTACATCAGACGTTATCTAAATCTTTACAATTCTAGCAACGACAAATGAAAAAGAAATATCGTGAATTCCAATACTTTTTCCATATTCCTTTTGTATATATTACCCAAAGGGGCAAACGGGTAAACAGTAGATGCGTTGCCGGCCTTGTTTATGAAAGAGCCACTTGAACACTTGAAAATTATTGTAATTGGTGATAACTAAAACAAATTATTTCTTTTAAAGAATCCCGCTGTGCAAAGCTCTCGATATAAAGGTGACAGCGACTGTGTTCACTGCGGGCGCGTCCCAGGCCGTGGCGAGGAAAGCCGGGTTCAAGGAGTTGTATAAGATCTCCTACCAGGAGCTGGCCGACCGAGGGTACAAGTTCCCGGGCATCGAAGAAGACACCAAATACTCCAAACTGATGGCACTGGAAATATAAATGTTGCCATTCAAAAAAATGTTACTTGAAATTGGTGATCATTAGTGTAGTACACCGATTCGCTTTTAGATTTCATGGTCATATTATATTATATATTACATTTAAGTATATTAGATTTGAACTCTTTATTTAATATGATATACTTAATCTTAGTTTTCTTGCCCCCTGATTGTAAATCTAAATATTACAAGCTATATTAGGACATTTTCAATAAAGATGAAATTCGTTTCACTGTATTGTACACACTCAACTGTATTATAATGTTAATTGATTATAAATGTATTTCAATTGACACATATTTAAACTATTTTAATTTTACTGTGATACTCAAGATCTCATTATAATTGTTAAGTATTTAATTGCTGTTTAAGTTTTATTTTTGTTACATTTAAGACACAAAATATGCCCATTTATTTATAGAATTGACTGAACCGAAGATTTTTATATTATTTTAGCTGACATAGTTTTTGTTAATTTGTTATACACGTGCTTTATAATTAAGTTGTATAAAATAGGTTTTATTGTTTTTCTTTCTGATGAATTATATTGTTTTTTTATATTGTATGGATTTTATTGTTCCTATTTTAATTTATAAGTAGTTGCAATTGTAACGTCGTTGTCTCGCGCTTAAAGCAGTATTATTATAACTAAAATAAGCTTACATTCATGTACTTCGATGTGATTGCAAAAATAAAAATATATCCCTGAAATGACGTTTACTTTTTATTTGTAACTTCATATCACTAATTAAAGTATTTTATAGAAACTCCATTACATAATTTTTGATGTTTTAAATCAGATACTCAGTGATTTATTGAAAAAATACGCTTTTCTTCATTATTATAAATTAACAACGGTTCGATTTGTCTTGTAACGGTCACTTTAACAAAATGTCTTGAGATTTAAAGACCCCTAGTTTTAAATTGAAGAATTTGCTATATAGTTATGTAATTAATTAAAAAGAGTTAATTTCCACAATTCAATATAGGTGAATGGGGAAATTTAATTTTTAAGACGGCAACATTATAAAAAAATGGCGTAGCGTCCATGACCCAGGGTCCTCACCAAATGTCAAACGGTTGTTGACTCAGTCCGCAGTAGTGAGCAGACTCGTCTTGATAAAGTAACAACAATAACAAAATTAACGTCAATCATTGAAAAATGAGTCAAAGTGAACGTTTTATAAAAAATGTCTTAATCGAGAGTTAGTGTTGTTTAACGTGTCCAGTGTGCGGTAATATTGTTTAGCTTTATACATCCTGTTTTATGTTACACGCCTTATTCAAGAGTTTTGTTCTGTCACCAAATCTTTTAAATTTAGGCTTTTTTTAATTAGTGTCGCATTGTGTGTGTTTTAAATTGTGATGGATTTTCATCGTCATTGATCCAACCCCCCGCTTCGTAAGTTTAAGGTGAGTTTTATAATTTTTAATTTAATAACAGATTTATAACCGATGTATTTGAATGTATGTATTTTAATTTACAAGAACGTAATCTATCGGAGTGTTTAAATGTTTGATGACGATAATTAATTGGAGTTTGATATCATTGACGAAATAAACTTACGAAGTGAAAAACTAAATAATTACGAATGACTAGATATATATATGTATATATTTTATATTGCATAGCGGAGATTACATATATTGTCTCGAAGCACGTAATGCAATCCAATTAGTTTTTTTGTACAATATTTCCCATAATTACACTTTTCTTTTATTACACAATATTAAAATACCACTGACAAATAAGATAACTTATAAAACATATTGTTATGTAAGAATATACAATAAATAGAAGATACATTTTAGGTAACATGACACATATAACAATTACTATAATCATCAACTCTGTGGAATTGGTGCATGTGAAATTTGACCTAGAAATGTAGCAATGAAAAATGATTCAGAATTTTCTGAATTATAACAGTATTAGGTGTAATGTATATCTACTATGTAGAGAGTGAGTTAATAAAATTAATAAATATTGTTCAAAAATATTCTATTAAATTATATTTTATGATGAAAATGAATGAAAAAACTACAATGAAAATATAAATATATGTATACATATATATAATTTCACTTACTTAGAGAAGTTCAACTAAATAACACTTCATTTTTGTAATCGAAATTAATTCATTACTGTTGTGAAATGAAATAAAGTTTTCCTTTTCAAATATAAAACAAAAAAATATATATTTCTTCATCTTTGTAATCACCAAATGAAAAGTTAAATAAAACGAAGCCTTCTGGTGGCGAAATGGAGTTTGCGGGGTTTTGTATATATATAGGATAAAAATCATTAACTTAATCGGTAAAGAAACAAAATCCAATTGATGTAGCAGATTAAATGCAAAAGTCAACACATTGTATATTTGATAAATTAAATTGAATGCCTATCTCCATGTTTTCGTAATATAAAATATATAGGGACATGATTATTCACTGTTTATGGTCAATTTTACTTGGATTAAATTTATTATAATATGGTAGCTTTCTTATATATATTATTCTGCTATGTCCACTGGTGAATACATTAACCAAGTATAATGTATGGAGGATTTGAAACAATGAATGACAAGCTTACTAACACAGAATGCATATATACATATATGACAGTACTGTTACTTTATAAGAAGTAATGTTGAATTCATTTAGTAATTTATATATCTATGTTACAGTTGAGTAAATAAATATAATATTACATTGGAGAAATGACCATTATAATGAGATCTAAGACTCTAAGCCACATTTGGTCTGCCCATGATCACGGTTGCTGCAAAGTAATTGAAACATCGGCAGTATGTAGTTTAAAATAATGAAATACATATAGTAATACGAAAATATTAGTTTCATTTAAATGTTGACTATCAGTTAACTTTAAGTTTTAACTCTGTATTTGTCTATTAGTTAGTAACCATATATAAGGTCTTGATGTAACTAATGAGAGAGAAACTGGGTGAAATAACTAGTATAACTATATTAATAGTGTAAGTAATAGTTCAAAGCTATCAATGATGTTCACTCCAAGTCTTTGGTATAGTTTTCATTGATCCATGTCGTCGGGTATAGTGCAAATCCTCATTACTAGCATTGGATAATTCCACGTATATACATTGGAAGCAGATCATCAAAAGAAAGTTTAAGATGAAATATTTTTTATATAAATATTTTTTAAGGTAATTTTTTCTCAATGAGTAATTAATAATTACTAAATCTGAAAGAAATTACTTTAAACGTTATTAAATTTAGAAAATAATTTAGTTTTTAACTGCTTCTAAAGCAGATACGCGAAATTATATATAGCTAGTTACTTGGACTTGCACTATCGTTATTTGAATCATGAGTGTCTCTTATTAAGCCCCCGTCGGTAGGGCTCCAGGGCTCCGCTGCCGTCTCATGACGTCACCGCTAATCGCCGCTGCTTCCTAATTGACCCTAATTGTACCCGATAAGCGAAACCTTTTAGTATGTACGGGCTTGTGTACACTCACATACAACATACTAGTTATAACACGTGACATTGTCTCGTATATTTTGTTAGTTTTATATTCGTTTATGTTTATATCTACATGCCCATTGTTCGCTGATAGCACGTCAGCGGGTGCCGTCATCACAGATGAGTGTCACAGACAAACATACAGGTGGAATTATATATGTATATAAGATAGTCGTGTTAGTTACGCTATTTATAACTCAAGAACGGCTGTACGGATATGGTTGGAAATTGGTGGAGAGATAGATTAGAACAAGGAGACGGACATAGGATATATAATACTGTTCGATCGAAAACTTAATAAATTCTAATATCTGGTTATTTACGGCCTCTACAGCGGAATAGAGTTCGCTCCATCAGCTATACATATATGACTAATCCCGAAATTATAACGACGAAGTCGAGAACAAAAACTAGTATATATACAATAGATTAATAATAATAATTAGACCTCCCTTATAGATATTATAAATCCAAAATGCTTTAAACCTGATATAGTTAAATGGACCTTAAAATACTCCCAGGAGGGTCACGGTTGAAATTCCACACCACGGATTTGGCGAAGTAATGGATTTTGAACCTTATATTTATATCTATAAAGGTGATCATACTGTAACCTGTTCGTAACCACAATGTGGTCGAATCCTGGATACAGTTACAAGTGTTATTCAGTTACTCTTCATATATTCACAACACTAGCCTCTCTACCCGGCTTGACTCGCCGAAGTACTGTATTTTAGATATGAAATAATTTTACTGGAAAGGAATGTACTTGTACGTTATTATGTAATTATATTATAAAAACAGTTTTAATTAAATAATATTATATTTTTTTTTATTTATTATATAATAAATTATATATGTATATTAGTCGTGTAAGCAGTTTTTAAAGTGACTATGTAATGTAGTGAGTGGTCGCTTTCAACTTTGTTCCTAATATCATAGTTTTCGTGATTTCCTGGGTCGTTTTATTTTGAACTATAAATATAACATTAAAAAACAAATAAACTTTGGGAAAGTAGTCTAAAATTAAATGTCATTAGACAATTTATAGTCACCTTGATACTTACCACTAGTCCGCGTCGTTCAGTCGACAACAACAGTTTAACGTGTTCATTCATACGTCTAAACTGACAGTCTCACGTCACCATGATACATAAATACTGTGATATCAACTGGTTGAAAGTTGAAATATGAAAAAATAATAACCAATTACGTTCCTTTAAATTTTAAAATGAATCTCATTTTATGTACATACATATATGTATGTATGTTTTTTATATTAATTTAAAATATCTAACATATGTATATATTTTAAACCCGTCTTCTCTCGTACATGATTGTATGATATCTCAGTGGCGATAGAAGTTACATGAGATCGCAAGAAAAACAAAAAAAAACATATATGTATTACATAACGTTAAATGAATATCTTGTTAAAGTTTTACTATTATCATAATCAACTAATTTTATTTATTTATTTCTTAGAAGATAGATAAAGT